GGTTTTTTTTGAAGCCCCCTCATAACTACATGTCAGCAGATGTGAGTGATACTTAAAAAAAATAAATACTGTATTCGGTTTCACATCTTTAAAATCCAATTAAAAAACAAAACATATTCCCACAGAGGAATACATTAAAACATAGATATTTTGACACCTTATCTTTTACTTGCTCAGCACCCTAATGGTCTCCTACAAAATCTCTACAGTTTCTCATTTCCCGACCAAAAAACCCACAATGTGCTACTTGTTTTGTAATCACAATAAAGAGAATGAGAACTGCCAATAGGATACAAGAAGTTCTTGAGCATTCTACGACCAAATAGGAAAAAAATAGGAAGACACTTGACATGATATTTGGGACACAAAGGAAAGAGCTGGTCACACATGCTTTGTTAGGGACTGAAATAGTGAGAAGGCTAAGGAGTTCGATAGACAAAGAAAGGTACTTTTTTTTTGAGGTTCTGAGGTCCTATTTGGGGAGGGGAGGGGGAAAAGGGACAGAACTAGTGCCCCTTAACAAGAATGTGGTAAGACTAATGTCCAGAAATGGACAAACAGTCAGAAATGGACAAACAGTCAGAAATGGACAAACAGTCAGAAATGGACAAACAGTCAGAAATGGACAAACAGTCAGAAATGGACAAACTATTCACAGAAAAACAACCAGAAATGTACAGACAACCAGACATGGACAAACAACCACACATGGACAAACAACCAGAAATTTACAAACCAGAAAGTACCCCCCCCCCCCCCTCTCTAAAAAAAAAAAATGGACAAAGAACCAGTACTGTCCGCCAGAGTTTACAGCTGGTAAACACTGCTAATAAGAAGAAAAAAGTTGTGACTTATTTGATTTTCAAAAACCTAACAAATGGTGTTATCACAAAAGTAATTAAACCAACAACTCAAATATTGATATGTTACATAACTGCAGAAATCTGATGTACACATGTGTACTCATTACAAATATTGCAGCTGCATAAACATATACAATGACACTGTTCCAAGTTCTCCAAGACAGGTGAGCCACAAGACAAAGAAGTAAGAAAATTGGTTACAAAAGTAGATATTGTCAATGTGAATACAACTGAAAATTAAACTTTATCAGCCACCATTATTTCATTTACGTAAACACACTGAATAATGAGTACATATAAAGTAAAATATGGTTATATAATTTGTAATCAGAAAGTAAGAAATTAAAGGTACACATAACATAATCTAAGCCATACAATACATCACTAATAAAGTTTATCTAAAGTATAATCAAAACAATAACATCTGTTAATGAAACAGGATACAGATGATTTATTTATATATCTGATTTGCAGACATTTTGTAAGTGGAAAAAGTTACAGTAAAGCTATTTCTGTTAAACAGCCAGTTTTTTCACCTCCTCCTCTTTAATTTGCCAAGCTTTACTTTATATAAATGTACATTTCTTACTCATCAGTTTGCCAGGCGGTCCTGAAATATACTTGCCATTTTTGTCATCAAAATAGCAACTGCATGAAAACTGACTTCAAAATGAGAAGGTTTCTATCCTCCCTTCAATGATTTCTTGGTCAAGGTTCAGTGAATTCATAAAAAAAAAAAATACTAACTCAGCTATAGTTACACCTGTTTGCATCACTTTTGTGATTCTAATTGAGGTATCATGATGTAATTTATGAATCATGGACAGTTGATAGACCAGTGAAAAAATTATTTAGAAGCTGCAGAGATGTGGTTTTATAGAAGAATGATGAGAATACCCTGCACAGATAGAACGAGTAAAGAAGATGTCTTGAAAGAAACTAATTCATGAAGAGAACTGATTACCCACATCAGAGACAATCTACATTCTTTCGTCATCTAATGAGAAGGAGAAAACTGGAGTGGTAGTAGGAAAGTTGGAGGAAAAGAGAGGCAGAGGGAGACTGAGAGACAAGATACTGGAAGTCTGGTATCATGGCATAAAGGATCATCTGTGTCAAAGCTGATCGAAAGTACACGACAAAGAAGGTTGTGGATAGACATGACTATCAATACTACAAGGACTTTAGCACGGTCATTGTTTCTAGTCGTGGCTAATCTTTTGCTTCTGACAGACTGTGGCCATTGCATTTTCCTGCATTTGTAGACTGAGAGGATATAGTTTCATCACCCAGCTACTGAGATGAGTGCATGGCGTGACACTGTGAGCTGCAGATTTTATTTTAAATGCTTTGAGACTGTGACCAACATCGTGTTGTGAACTGTAGATTCAAAATATGGTGCGTGGCGTGTTGTCACAGAATTGGTGATGCCTTATTTGATTAAAAGTCGGTTGTGTGTGCAACTGCTGATCCGTTTGTATCTGCTGCTTCCGTTGATAGTGAACTACATTTTTAATATTGGTCGGACTGTCTGCGTTAGCAATTCTGATGTCAGCCTTATACTTTTAATGCGTGTCTATGCAAGTGCATATACTGAAACAGCAGCCTGTGTCAATTTTTCCACAAGGGACTGTGATAAACATTCTGTGTGTTTTTTGCTGGCACAGGAGTGAAGCAACTACGGGCTGACCCATTTGCTATAAAACTGAAACTAAGATGACCAAGTTTCCCAAGTATGACATTAACACAAGCTATACAACTACCAGAGGACAGGACACTACATTAACTCCTCTTTAGAATACTTTACAGCTTAAGCATTAGGACAAAAGAAAGAAGAGAAGAGAGAAGATTCATACAGGTGACTCGCAAGAGATCTGCTTGAGTAAGAGCTGGACATTTACCTTTATGCTACTCACAATTTTCAAAATATTATTATGGTTGATACAAGTTAAGAAAATGTGACAGAAGTAGGCAGCTGCTGTACTGGTTAGGGCACTCTCTTAAGAATACAGCTGTGCAGAGTTCACGGTCAGAAATTGTCAGGATGTTGTTGTCAACATGAATATAATATTTTGACCACACTAAAAGAACTTTGAAGGCATCTTTACAGAAACTAGCTAAACCTAGTTATTTGGAGCAGACAACCCTCATTCTTTGACTATTTTATGAGAAATTATGAAGCAGGAAAGCTCAAGAGGATGAATTAATCTAAGACAACGTGATGAGCACCTACATGGGCTTTATGAAGCAGTCAACTTGAGAGATCATCTAGCTTTACACCTACATGGGCTTTATGGAGCAGTCAGCTTGAGAGATCATCTAGTTTTACACCTACTTGGTCTTTATGAAGCAGTCAACTTGAGAGATCATCTAGCTTTACACCTATATGGGCTTTATGAAGCAGTCAACTTGAGAGATCATCTAGCTTTACACCTACATGGGCTTTATACAGCAGTCAGCTTGAGAGATCATCTAGCTTTACACCTACATGGGCTTTATGAAGCAGTCAACTTGAGAGATCATCTAGCTTTACACCTACATGGGCTTTATGAAGCAGTTAACTTGAGAGATCATCTAGCTTTACACCTACATGGGCTTCATGAAGCAGTCAACTTGAGAGATCATCTAGCTTTACACCCATATGGGCTTTACGAAGCAGTCAGCTTGAGAGATCATCTAGCTTTACACCTACATGGGCTTTATGAAGCAGTCAACTTGAGAGATCATCTAGCTTTACACCTACATGAGCTTTATAAAGCAGTCAACTTGAGAGATCATCTAGCTTTACACCTACATGAGCTTTATATAGCAGTCAACTTGAGAGATCATCTAGCTTTACACCTACATGGGCTTTATAAAGCAGTTAGCTTGAGAGATCATCTAGCTTTACACCTACATGGGCTTTATGGAGCAGTCAGCTTGAGAGATCATTTAGCTTTACACCTATATGGGCTTTATAAAGCAGTCAGCTTGAGAGATCATCTAGCTTTACACCTACATGGGCTTTATGGAGCAGTCAGCTTGAGAGATCATCTAGCTTTACACCTACATGAGCTTTATAAAGCAGTCAACTTTAGAGATCATCTAGCTTTACACCTAAATGGGCTTTATGGAGCAGTCAGCTTGAGAGATCATCTAGCTTTACACCTACATGGGCTTTATAAAGCAGTCAACTTGAGAGATCATCTAGCTTTACACCTACATGGGCTTTATGGAGCAGTCAGCTTGAGAGATCATCTAGCTTTACACCTACATGGGCTTTATAAAGCAGTTAGCTTGAGAGATCATCTAGCTTTACACCTACATGGGCTTTATGGAGCAGTCAGCTTGAGAGATCATTTAGCTTTACACCTACATGGGCTTTATAAAGCAGTCAACTTTAGAGATCATCTAGCTTTACACCTCCATGGGCTTTATGGAGCAGTCAGCTTGAGAGATCATCTAGCTTTACACCCTGATGGGCTTTATGGAGCAGTCAGCTTGAGAAATCATCTAGCTTTACACCTACATGGGCTTTATAAAGCAGTCAGCTTGAGAGATCATCTAGCTTTACACCCTGATGGGCTTTATGGAGCAGTCGCTTGAGAGATCATCTAGCTTTACACCTACATGGGCTTTATAAAGCAGTCAGCTTGAGAGATCATCTAGCTTTACAAAAGGAAATCCAGAAATGTAAAGACTACCAGGATAGCAGTGTTTAGAAAATTTCTTAAATACTTATTTGACACTAAAAAAAATGAGCCAAACATTTTATCTAAATATAAAGTTAGGTTTAACTTTATATATTAATATACCTTGTAATGTGTAATTAGATTAGTTTATATTCCTTTAAATTTATAGTTGAATTTACATCTATGTTGAATGTACTTGATTCACTGGAGGATGTTGAATGTTGCCAACCTCCACTGAATGAAAGCAATTATTTATGATGTCTATGGGCTTTCACTTGCTTGAGTTTGATAAATTTATCTAAACATTCATTTGATCTTGTTCTAATTCCTGCACATACATGCAGAATAAAAATATATATATGAGTTATGTAAAGTGATGCTGGAGTAATAAATATAATATATAGATATGATTATATTGATACAACTAATGAAAAGAATTACAACACAAACTGGCTGTTGAATTTACCTGTTGGATTTTTGGTTTGGGGGATATCTGAATCAATCTGAAGTGTAGCATTGGGTCCAGCTCTAGTGAAACGGATCACATGGTAGCGGCCATCATTGACCTTCTGGTAGAGGCTGCCGAGAGGGTGGTTCATGGTCCCCATGTTGTAGACGAGGTAAATGTAACCATTGACCTAACAAAGTGAAAACCGAGGTATAAATTAGAAGCTTTATTTGCACCAAGGCCTGGTAAGGTGAAGGACCCTTTCCACACCTTTGCCACATAGTGCTTACCAGGCAACTGCACCAAGCATGACCAGGAGATAACTGCTGCGTCTAGAGCACTCGCAAGGGCAGCAGAAGATGCAGCCACACATTCCGCAATTGTATTAGACTTCACGAACTCTCAATTGAGGTTTGAACCCCAACCCTCTCTTAAGGTGGCTCCTGTGTGTGGTTTTAGGCTAAATTAACTAGCAAACACTATCCAAGAGATAACATTAAATGAATCAACCTGTAGATACTGAAATAAAGAAAATAAATGGAACCTCTTTCCATCGGCTTTGAGTTTAAAACTAAAAGCAATGTACAAGAATTAAAAAATCTAAGAAGAATTGAATTTAAAAAAAAAACAATATGCTGAAATAACAACAACCCAAGAGGCAGCATCGATCACACTGAAGAAAAATGAAATCAGGAGAGTGAAACATGCAGCATGGATTAAACAGGAAGGACAGAAAACTACATGTAAAAAATCCCCAACCGATTAATGTTACAGTATTTAAGGAATCAAAATTAGATATAACCGTCATCATCATCATCATCATCATCATCATGTGCCTTGCTGACTGGCGTGGGCGATCATGCCTCTCCACAATCTGCAATCTTCTGCAGCAGGTATCAGTTTGTGTGCTGACACACCTCAATGTCAAGCAACAAGACTGTCAAGAATCTTCTATTGTTGTCTTCCTCTATACCTCCTTCCACGGATCTTTCCAGTGGTCACAACATGTTCTATTTTTCCCTTTTCTCATAACATGGCTGAAAAATGATGACTGTCTCCTTCTGATGTCTGTGATTAGTTGTCTTTGAGGTCTCGCCTCTTTCAAAACCTCTTGGTTGCTCTTTTTGGCTGTTTAAGGTATTTTAAGCATTCTTCTGTAAAACCAGATAACCCTTTAACACCCATAACTTGAAATTAATGATACAGATGTGTTTTAATGAACAACAGACAATTAGATGGAATATTTTCACATGCATCTACGCGCTTCAGGCAGGAAGAATAACTTATTTCCATTATCAGTTATCAACGAGTGAAGGAATGAATGAATAAAGAATTGACATCACTGTCTTCAAGGACATTCATATACATACTTGGTCCAAATGCTAAGTAACCAAGGAACAGTTCCTATACTTATAGTGCCAGTTGTAATCTGAACAAAACGTTCACCTGTTTTTTTCCCTTGGGAGTAGAAAATCCTCCAGACCCTCTGTTCACTACGAGCTGAATCATTTTCTTTAGATATGATGTTCTGCCTATTCTGCTGTCCTGGTATGTTGAATTAAGAATCGACATCACAGAATTACCCTGTATGCTGCCCTGGTATATGAACCCATAAAACCTTCATGATGTCTACTTTATTGTATCAAACATCAAGTTATATTTTTTTTGTAAATGATTCAGGTACATTCTCTTTATATATGGATGTTCTGTCAGTTCTGCTGCACTGATACATGATCCCAGATAACCTGCAGAATGTCTGCCTTATCACATTATTTACCCAGCTTCCCCAGTTGTATTTTGTTTGTGAACGTTCCAGTGTCAGGTCAACATCCAGAAATGACCCAAATGTTTAATATGAAAAATCAACTCACCAGTTCCAACTCAATGAAGTCATCAAAAGTTTTGCTGTCAATCCGCAACAAGACAGCCGTTTCCTGAAATGACTGGAAACCGAAGGCTAAACTCTCAAAGTTTGTAGATGGTTCCTGACCTTCAGGGTAAGCAAAGGTGATTAGTCCTGGCCCTGGTCCAAACTTGAAAGACACACTCTCTACAGATAACAATTCACAGTTGTTAATCTCAAAGGGGAAAAAGTCTGTAGAGAATATAAGAGTTAGAGGTACTGCCATCTGGCAAGGCACATGATGATGATGATAGTGGAGGTTTGGCAAGTAAAGCTGTAGGATCCAGTTTCACGCCAGGTTTATACTTGGTTAAATGAGCTTCATTTTTTTAAAGACCAATCTGCACTCGATGTGGGATATAAACATCATGTGGAGACAGGTCTTGGTCAGATAATGCTGAGATTCCATAGAATAGTAGTTGATACTATCTGTTTTCCATGAACACAGAATGTTTGCTGGTATATACGAAACCTGACATTTGACATTGTGTCAATGGTTTTGGGTAGAGGAGCACACTGGAATAGATATTAGCGTTACCTTAGGAATAAAAAAGCAGAGTGAAAACGAAATATTATGATAGGGAAGTCCAAGCCCTTAGCTTTGGCTGGAAGCTAGTCTAGAAGGGAAACTATGAAAGGCAGATAGAACACTGCTCTTGTGATTTAATGACAGTTTAGTCTGATTTCCATGTGTATTTGGGATATTTTCTTGCCGGTTTGTGTTTGCTGGGAGAATTATCTTTGGCCTGACGAATGATGGTCATTTGTTTGGGCATCAATCATGTAGTGTATAGATAAATCCTCGAGCTTTACTAAGAAACAAATAGACACCGTATAATGTGTGCAGCAGTTATCCTGACCTTTTGCTTGCTGACTCTGCAATATTCATTATTACTATCTTGTTATTTCTTTTTATCTTAGATGTTACAACTCTCTGTTGAGCTTTTCTTGTTTAAAATGTGGTAACCTGATTTTAAGAGCTCTTTTTTTAAGCATGTATAGAATTGGAAACAATTCACACCACGATTGTATCAAGGGTGTATAACCTCTGAATAAATTCTGGCTCCACCACTGACTGTTGAGTTTGGAAACTATAAACTGATATCACAGAACTCGGGAATTACCCATAAGCACTCTGTACTCATCTTCATCGGCCATTGAAGAGTTAAGAGTTCCTATTCTAATGGTGCTAGAAGCAGTCTGATTATGTGTCCATCTTGCCTTTCCTCCGAGTGAAGAGTGTCGACCAGATCTCCTGGTCACTCCTAGCTGTACCATTGTCTCCAGACCACAATGATCTATTCATGACTCTGTGTTGTTCACTTGCTCCCAGATGGTACTGACCACATCTAGACTGTCATAAATAAATTCACTACTTATTGGTGCAGAACAGCCAATCGGTCTGACTGTTTCAATACTCCTGCATGACCCAGAGAAATGGTTTCACCATTAGATCTATCATCCCATTAACTAGCGTACAGTAAGTCAAGGACATTTTTTACATCATGAGCCATGCTGACTACAAAGTGCTTGCTTGATACTTTTAAGCCAATTGTTAGAATATATGATAAACACCTTGAATTCTGAGCAAATTCTAGTAAATATTTTAGTATGGATTGATATGAGAGAAGTCAATCACTGGGGGAAAAATTCTTGCCTTGATCACAAGCAAATGTGCCAGCCATTGAGCTATTTTGGTTTGTGCATTTACCACAGAAAGAATGAAAATTGTGATTAATTGGCTTTGATCTGCGTTCTACTATGAAGAATTTCTTACTATTTACAAACTATTTTTGCCTGCGACGATTAACAACTGCTTTGCTTCTAACATTAGGGAGGTGCAGCAGAAGGTGAATAAGACTAAGATAAAAAGAAGCATTTAGAAAATGGATAGTGAAAAAGAAGAGGGAAAAGGAGGAGGAAGAAGGAGGAGGAGGAGCAGGAGGGGCAGAAAAAAGAAAAGGGGCAGGAAGAGGAGGAAGTAAAAAGTAGATCAAGTCCCTTTTCAAATGTATATATTATGATTTTATAATATCATATGGTAAGATTGGATGAATAAATAAATCACAAACTAGAAGGTAGATAAGCAAGTAGTATGATACCATCTTTGCACATTGGTCCAGTATATGAGGTCATATCACAGTCACATTTGTAAGAGGTCCACTGTTGTACACATCGGCCATGATTTGCACAGGAGTCATTCACACATTTGGTCAGCGGACCTGCAAGTCAGGCCAAAATATATTCAAGAACTAAAACAGAGTAACAGTCTATGTAATATATGTGATACTAAATAAATGTTGTTGTTACTTACCCTCAGTATAAACATATTCATTTTTTATGACCCATAACTGGTAACAAATATTTCCAAATTTGCTATCTGGTTATTTACTTATTTATTATCTATCCTGTTTCGTCCTTTTTAGGACACAATTTTTTGTTATTTGAAGCCCCACCCTGGCTTTTGCCAGAGGCCGCAATATAGGCAGGCCATAAATATGGCCAATTGTCTGAACGCGGTTTCTGGGACCTCTCCACGGCGATCCTCATCCGCATGGTGGCGCTTCTTGTCATCGGGTGTTTATCGCTTGTGTGATGTCCTGGTGGGGTAGAAAGTCAGTCAGTCAGTCAGACTTATTTATTTCATTTTTGTATTCAGTCGTCTCCTGTGAGATCCAATTTTTCTTTATTTTAAAGCCCCACCCTGGCTCTTGCCAGGGCTCGCAAAATAACCCCACCATAAATATGGTCTAATGGCTGAACGCCATTTCTAGGACCTCTCCACGAGTGATCCTCCTCCTCATGGTGGCACTATGTATCATGGGATGTTTATCGCTTGTGTGATGTCCTAGTGGGGTAACTACTACGACTACTTATTTATTTTACAAGATGATAACACCCTCACTGCACATTTGACAGCCCATTTTCTTAGCTTCTTAGATTCTCGGAAGCTTGCAGTTAATCCATCTTTTTGCCTCTGGTGATCAAAATCTGGCTACATGCTACTATGCCACACTACAGATGTACCTGTTGCTGTCTGTGGCTTAGGGGCTATAAATGCGATTTGTAATTCAGCTGCAGGTGACTTTGCAGTATACTACATTTTGACAATGGTACTGAGAGTTGGCCATTCAGAAAGAAATGGTAAACTATTAAGTGTAAAATTTCCTATTAAAATCCCTACCAGCCAAGAACTGCTGGCATTGTTTTGCAATATCCTGCAAAGAATTTGCAAATAGCTTTTAACGGATGTGATATTTTAGTATCAATTTGGCGCAAACAGCTGGTGTATTTTATTGCATCAAGAGGGAAAGATATTTGACTTCTAGTGACAAGAGTATATTTATATTTGTACCCAGTAAAGAGGAAAGCCTCTCAACAGTGGTTCTCAACCTGTAGGACATGACCCTTTTGGGGGTCAAACAACCCTTTCACATGGGTCGCCTAAGACCATAGAAAAACACATATTCACTGAACAACCCTAAAACAACCTAGTTTGAATCAATGGAAGCAATTTTTACCACTGAGAGGACATGAAAACCAGTCTGTTATACTTTAAAGTAACAACATTTAATGACTTCAAAGGCTGCAGTCAAGATGATTAAACACAACATAAATTGTGATTGGAAAGTTCATTGAGAGCATTGGAAAAGATGTGCACAAATACTATCATCATATTTTGAATAAAATCTTTATCAACAGGCAAGAAGGCAGAACATACAAAATAGTCTTAAAATCTTATCTTACATATTTTTAAAAATAAAAAATGAAAACAGATCAAGTTTGTAGTCATCCAGTGGGGAAACAACAGTTTCATACTCATCAACTAAACCATTTGAGACACATGTGTAAGGTTTAGAAGAAGGGTTTCTTCTTGTTATCTCAGAAGATGTCAACAAAAGTTTTGTTTCCCTTGTCTTCACGTGCTCATAAAGTCAACAAATTTTCTGAAGCCCAAGAAATTAGAGGAAGAGAAGAAGAAGCTGTATCAATTTGAAGTTTTTATAAAAATACAGGGGGTCGAACCCCTAGACCACTAAGAAGACAGGCAAGTGAAAAGTCCACAGCTATATCATGGCCATCAAATAACTTAAATATTTAATTGTTATTAAAATCATTTTTGTGTAAAAGAAAGTTTTTAAGTAAAGGAATTATTCAGTAAATACAATTGGAGAATTAACTCTTTCTTTCTTTTTTTAACGTGAAAAACATGTTTAGTTAACATAGCTGTGGTGCGCAAACTGATATCATAGGATATTATTATGATGATAGTGTCACAATTGAAACACACATGTTTTTTCTAAACCCATAATTATATCCCAACAATCTTTTGGAGATCATGTTTAGTCATACCCTCCATGTGTACACACTGTGCAGTTACAACCGGTTCCAGAGCTGTTATGCAAGCGCTGTAGCCACTGCTCAAAGACTTCATGTCAACAACAAAACTGTAAATGTCTGGAAAACAACTTTCTCGGGGTGACAGCGTTAAAGTCTACAACTGAAGTCATCTCACTAAACATTTACTTTTAAGTTTTTCTTCTTATCTTTTCACCATTAAAGGGTATTTGGAACATTTGTGTTGTGATTTACAACTAGACTGTGATATCTGTGCCTTTCAATCCAACATGTAAGATTTCAACTAATCCTTAATTAATAATTTATGACATGCTTGTTTAGCAGAAGCAAGTCGGCCCCAGAACCCACACATGAATGCATTTAACTCAATATCTGGTGCTTAAGAAAATCTTGACAAATATGACACACAGGAAGTGGAAAGTCACCAACCTCTACAGCCATCTCCCACACTTTCATGAATCGGACTTGCTTCTCGCAACAAATTTGGCAAATACCCATTGAGATCTAGGGATCCTAGACAGCCAACAAAACCATGCTGAGAGTAGATATGTTTCGGAAGTGATGGGTACATGGTCTTCCGTACTCCTCCAATGTACAAGTGACCATCCAGGTCAAATTTGTTATTTTTGGCACCAGAAAGATCATCAATTGTTGGTGTGTTGTCATCCACTCGCAGAAGTTGTTTGTATGTTTCTGCTCGTAGTAAACGCACCTGTTGGAAATAGAAATACAGTTCTTTGAGGATAATTTAATTTATATATAGAAATAAGTTTTCTTCGCTGAAACAGTAAAATATTAAAACAAAACATAAAATGTAAAGTAAATCAATTTTAAAAACTAAGCAGTGAAAACATAACTAGTAATAATAATGAAAAAAAACAAAAACACATACAATAAATGATTATTAAGTCATAATAAATATATATTTTTTGGAGATTTATCAATAGATGTTAGATCATGCATCCTTTATTTCATCTAACTGCTTTTTGTATCTATGTATTTTGGCCATGTTAAAATTATTGTATAATGTGCGAATAATAAAAGGATTTGTTTTGATGCGAATGGATTAATCATTCTCCCTTTATTTCTGATGGGAAAATCCCTTTGTTACACTATTTGGAATAAGTGCAAGGATCTGGAAAGGATTAAGGACATATACTAAAGTAACACTGTAATCAGGACTATTCGACTAAGTTTACTCAAGGGCCAACATTTTGAAAATGGGGATCATCATGGGCTAGAGACCTGGGCCCCAGCATAGAAAGATCATGCATACAATATAACTGGCAAGGATCTGCAGGCCACTTGCTAGGCCTCCATGACCCGTAGACTGCCTGCTGAATAGCCCTGCTGGATGTCTTCATTGTCCATCTTTAAACTTTGAGTGACTGAATTTTGTTTGGGTTGAAAAACGCAAATCATAACATACTAGCTGAACTTATAAATGTTGTGTCTCCCAAAGCAAAGGTTTCTAGGTAAAATAAAAATTGTATTCTGTTTGTTTTAGCCTCTGATTTAAATGAGATCAGGTATTCATTGTCAATGGAAAAGTCTACTATATACTAACTAGCACCATTACTAACATGCAAACAACTATGCCAGGAAAGCAACATTGCAAACAGCAACATTACAAACAGCCACGGCCGGCTCCAGATATATCTGGAGCTGGCTGTGCAAACAGCACATTTAAACAATCTTCATGTCACCAGTTTCAAACCTGGACATAAAAAAACTCAGAAATGTTAAATAAACACTGTGAGATGAATTGCCTTAGGAAAGAGCTAATTTAACCATCAGAGATCAAGTCAGAAAGGATACTATAAGACAGACTGTGGGAATACCTTGTTTCAAAGATATTGACAAACAGAAGATCCAATTGCTTGACATCTCATTAGAAATGTTTAAGCATCAGTTAACAACACAAAAGCTACATTTAAGAAGATCAGATATGCAATGGAGGGGGTCTCCATGATGACAATAAATTAACAACAGTGAAGACAGCACCAGCAAATGATTTTGTAGAACATCAAAGTATCTAATGTTTTTGTTACCTGGCCAGAAAGGAACAAAATCAGCCAGCAGGTACAGCATCTTTCATGAACAACAGGTTACAAGTCAAGAGACTGACCAAGAAAGAAATGGGTGCAGGGAGTAAAAGATGCACTAGGAAAACACAGTATGACATTAACACAAGCTACACAACTAGCAACAGACAGGACATTACATCTAACTCCTCCCTGTGATGCTTGATGGCATTAACAATGGAACAGCAGAGGCAGACACTGACATAAAATGGTGGTAGCTATTGCCAGCCGATAAGTTTCGGACCAGCATCTCTTTCTCCCCATGGAAATAAATGCCAACAATGGAAGAAGCTGGAACCTGCAGTGGCATAGTGGTTAGAACTTGCCTGGTAGTCTGAAGGTCTTGGATTTGAATATGCACTGAGTCAGATTTTGTTCAAATCTGACCCTGGCTATTAGATTAATCCAGCCTTAAATGTAAAAGTAAAGTAAAGTTCCCTTTTCCACGCCTTTAGGCGTATTGTGAATATAGGTTAAAAAAAAAGTAAAGATACCTTTTCACGCCTTTCGGCGCATCGGGCATATGGGCAGAGCGTCCCATATTTTTACAGACCATCAGCACTGTGGGTAATGTGGTCAGCATTACGCCGGCTGTCTTTACTTTCCCAGGACAGCCCATCCTGGTACCCATTTTAGGCCGGGTCAACCTGCGACGACCCATACCACGACAAAAATCCACGCAGCCTGCAGTGGGTTTCGATCGCGGTATGCTGGCTTACGAGTCGGACTCGCAACGCCTTATCCACGGACGCCGCGTGAATATAGGGCTAGACCTAAATTTTTATAGACCAATCGGCACTTGGTGGGTGATGTGGTCAGCACTATGCGGGTTGCCTTTACTTCCCAGGACTGCACCTGGTACCCACTCAGAGCTGGGTCGACCTGGGAGTCAAGGTAATTTCTGGAAAACAAGTCTGGCTAGCCCTAAATGTACTGGGAAGTAAAGGTGGTCGGCATGATGTTGACCACATAACCAATTTTAGTGCCAAGTGGTCGATAAAATATGCCCAGTGTGGATGCAGGGAGTGTTTGCCTTAAGAAGTCCGTAATGTGTGTGTGTGTGTGGGCAAAAAGGTGATGACCCCATAAAATGTATGAGTAATTTTCACAAAATACATATTCTGTGCAATCCTCAGGGTCATAATTAGGATATAAGGTGTTCCTTAAAGTTCTAGAAGTATATTTTTATTATTTTATGTGTTGTGTGATAATTTATTTAAGATGCAGTTTTTTTAAATATATTTAAAATATTGTGCTGTTTGCACCTTTCAATTAATTTCGATTAGGACAGAAGTTGTATTATGAATATTAGGATAATCTTACTAACATTGTGTCATTAAAAAAGTAGAATTAATATGCCCTTCATATAATGTATACTAAAATGGATACCAAGATGGTTGTCCTGGGAAAGTAAAGACGGCCGGCGTAATGCTGACCACATTACCCATCCAGTGCCGATTGGTCTGTAAAAATATGGGACACTCTTCCTATGTACCCGATGCGCCTAAGGCGTGAAAAGGGATCTGTACTTTTTTATACTTGTTCATATAATATTAATCATCATGACCGAAACAAATAAAACAGTTTACCTTCGTTCAGTGCTGGGTACCTACCTCGTGCCACTTATTGTCATTTATAGGTTGGTTGACATTGGCCTTCACACGCTGAGGCCCTTCCCCCATGTCATAGACATAATAAAAAAATCCCTGGTACAATTCCATGGCAAAAAAATCCTGGCCAGCCCCACCATTGTACAATATCAAGCCATCATTTTCTGTTGTCTTTAGCTGCAGGGATATTGAAAACTTGTCATGAGCTTGCAACCGAGGTAAGATGGCGTATGCATCCACTGACTTAAAGGTTACTGGATCTCGTACAACGTACTCGTCTGAGCTGAGGTGAGCAGAAATTTCTATGTTGTCTCCTGTGTCTGACTTTGCCATCTAAAGAGGTAAAAACGGAAGAGAAAACAACAACTGTCATACAGCTGTGTGAAAACCACAAACACTGTCATACAGCTGTATGAAAACCACAATAACTGTCATACAGCTGTCTGAAAACCACAATAACTCATACAGCTGTGTGAAAACCACAATAACTGTCATTCAGCTGTATGAAAACCACAATAACTGTCATACAACTGTGTGAAAACCACAATAACTGTCATACAGCTGTGTGAAAACCACAATAACTTGGTTTTTTAAAATTCTTCTTCTTCTTCGCGCTAACCAGCTGTAAACTCCAGCAGCAAGTTCTGGTTACTCGCCCTTTTCAGTCTTGTTCCACTTTAGTCTTGTTAAACATTAGTCTTGTTCGACTTCAGTCTTGTCCCACTTTAGTCTTGTTAAACATTTGTCTTGTTCGACTTCAGTCTTGTCCCACTTTTAGTCTTGTTAAACATTAGTCTTGTGTGACTTCAGTCTTGTCCCACTTTAGTCTTGTTAAACATTAGTCTTGTTCGACTTTAGTCTTGTTAAACATTAGTCTTGTTCGACTTCAGTCTTGTCCCACTTTAGTCTTGTTAAACGTTAGTCTTATTCCACTTCAGTCTTGTCCCACTTTAGTCTTGTTAAAGGTTAGTCTTGTTCAACTTCAGTCTTGTCCCACTTTAGTCTTGTTAAACATTAGTCTTGTCCCACTTTAGTCTTGTTAAACGTTAGTCTTATTCCACTTCAGTCTTGTCCCACTTTAGTCTTGTTAAACGTTAGTCTTGTTCGATTTCAGTCTTGTCCCACTTTAGTCTTGTTAAACGTTAGTCTTATTCCACTTTAGTCTTGTCCCACTTTAGTCTTGTTCCACTTCAGTCTTGTCCCACTTTAGTCTAGTCCCACTTTAGTCTTGTTCCACGTTAGTCTTGTTCCACTTCAGTCTTGTCCTACTGCAGTCTAGTCCCACTTTAGTCTTGTTCCACTTCAGTCTTGTCCCACTTTAGTCTTGTTCCACTTTAGTTTTGTTCCACTTTAGTCTTGTTCCACTTCAGTCTAGTCCCACTTTAGTCTTGTTCCACTTCAGTCTTGTTCCACTTCAGTCTAGTCCCACTTTAGTCTTGTTCCACTTTAGTCTTGTTCCACTTCAGTCTAGTCCCACTTTAGTCTTGTTCCACTTCAGTCTTGTCCCACTTTAGTCTTGTTAAACGTTAGTCTTGTCCCACTTCAGTCTGGTTCCACTTTAGTCTTGTTAAACGTTAGTCTTGTCCCACTTCAGTCTGGTTCCACTTTAGTCTTGTTAAACGTTAGTCTTGTCCCACTTCAGTCTGGTTCCACTTTAGTCTTGTTAAACGTTAGTCTTGTACCACTTCAGTCTAGTCCCACTTTAGTCTTATTTCACTTCAATCTTGTTCCACTTTAGTCTTGTTAAACGTTAGTCTTGTCCCACTTCAGTCTTGTCCCACTTCAGTCTTGTCCCACTTCAGTCTTGTCCCACTTCAGTCTTGTCCCACTTTAGTCTTGTCCCACTTTAGTCTTATTCCAGAACTTTACAGATATGTTACAGATCTGGCTTTTTTGTGCATAGACTGTTTGTTCCTGACCTCTCAGGCAGATGCAGTCCGACACCAAAAGAACCACACCTACTTTGTCAACTTTTACAGCATGCTTGTTGGAAGGGGGCGGGGGGGGGGGCAGTGGGTGTGTTTCCCCCTCCAATGGGAGCCACAGAAACAAAGCCATAGCACTTGAGGGTCTTAACATTGTTACACTCGTTCACTAATCTTAAGCCATAGAGCTATACACTGTCGTGATGTTAAAGCCCAAATGGACATCTTAATGTCAATCTTCTAACAAATAATAGTCAAATGTTCTGCTTTTATTTTTATTCCACAAAATGTGTAATTGTGAACAGCTATTTTATTGACACTGGGATTTAACTCTTGTAGTCCCAGAAGACAGCGGCTGATATCTGAAGGAGACAGTGGAAACACCAAACACATGGGCTCACTACTTCCATAGGGCTCAAATATACACATCCATTGTCAGAGTTCTTTAGGATCCCTTGCTAACATGATGTAAAAACATACATAACATGTGTCTGTGTACATAAAAAATATCCAGCCACAAACGATGCACTGCCTAAGAAAGAAGACATTAAAAATTCTTTTACGAGTTCATCGTCATCTTACCCTTTAAACCTGGATATGGTTCACAGGGGAATATCAACAGAGGAAGCTTCCCTCTGCCCTTTGTCCACAACAACATGCAATAAGGCGGAAAAACAACATCTGATCTATTGTTTCATGATACCAGTCGTGCATGCTAACCAGAATTATTATGACCACATTAACTTCCAGGTTTACGACTTCCATGATTAGTGCACCTGTTTCAAATGCCACATTGACCTAGTGCCCTCAAGCACAGAATAGTAAAATAAGAGTCATCATCATCATCAAGTAGCAGGTCCTTTGCAGAACGTCGCTCTCATCATGGTATGCCTGAAAGAAACTCGGTCTCTCGCCAAATCTACCGCATCATGTACTTTCATACTCAAGGAGTCACTTATATCCTGTGCCCATCCTCGTGTTGGTCGGCCCCTGCCCCTCCTTCCTGGTACCATGCTTTCTGCTATAATTTTTCCCAATCCTTCGTGGCGCTTGATATGACCAAAATATTTCAGCTTCCGAGACAGGATGCTGTTTTTTTAGCCAATATTCTTTGATGTTCAGTCAGTATTTCTCCTCTTCTTTGATCAAGATATTCTGAGAATCTTTCTATAGCATTTCAGCTCAAAAACCCCTATTCTCTTTCTTAAGAACTGGGAGATAGTCCACGACTCACATCCGTATGTTGCTACAGGGAAGATGCATGCTCTCAGAATTCTAATTGTGATTTCCTTGCTGGTGCTTAACCATAGAATTTTTAGGCTGTTTATTCTTTGTATTGGCCATCCTCCTTTTAATTTATGTCAAACAGTCTCCATTGCTATTTATTATAGAGCCTAGATATTCAAAGTTTGTGGCTTTTTCCCGGCACCTGTATAAAGCCAGCCATATTTGTGTAGGTGCATCCGGCATTTGAGGATGGACTCATATGTTTATAACCCAATAAGCCCTCTATGAGTTATGTGGTCAACATCATGCCGACTGCCTTTACTTCCCAGGACTTAACATTGTATCCATTTAAGACTGGGTGGACCTGGAGGCCAAGGTCACGGTTTTGAAAAAAATCTAGCACAATGCGGATTCGATTTCATGACCATAGGATCCACAGGCGAGAGTCTGGCTGCTACACCATGACGGCTCCACCTCCCTGTATCTATGACTCTCTATATTTACAATCACCGTGAACAACTGCAAATATAAACAACCCCGACGTGGAATAGTTTTCTTACCTGGAAAAAATTATTGCCATTAAAGATAAAAGTTTGCATAGAGCCAATGAAGCCAGAACGGTGGCCAGAGCTTGCCTCGTCCTGCTGTGCCATGTGTCCAGCCTCCACACTGGACAGTCCCAGCTCTTTCGCTCGACCAGGCAGGTTGGCTGATAGAAATCACCACTCAGTTAATATAATAACAGTTAAATCAATAATTAATGACATCACAGCGGTCACGTTATAACATAAATAAGTCCGAAATTGAACAGGGGACGAATGCATTTTACCATTTTTTCCCCCAGAGATAAAGGGAATATTCATTCGCTTAAATGTCTATTGTCACTACTAATTATTACTGTTAATTTTAAAGATATTTGTTTATTTTTTCTCTCATTCTCGCCCTCTCTCTCTCTCTCTTCTCTCTCTCTCTCTCTCTCTCTCTCTCTCTCTCTCTCTCTCTCTCTCTCTCTCAGTAAAACAACATCCAACTGTCTCAATATAATGAAATGTTAAAACAAAACTTGACTATACAAAAATGGAAAAAGATGGAATCTACTTAAAGATTTTAAATTCTGTAATAATTTAATGAAATCGTAATGTCTGCATCTGTAAACCAAATATTAAAAACATTAAACGATAGATTACAAACGACTAGGAAATAATTTGATATTAAAAGGCCCTTTCCCACCTTTTTAAGGCGTATCTGGCATGTAGAGCTAGACCTGTATTTTAAAGACCAATCGTCCACACTCAGTGGGTGATGTGGACAACATCTTGCTGGCCGCCTTTACTTCCCATGAATTTACCTGCTACCTGTTTAAGGCTGTGTCAACCCAGGAGCCAATGTCATTTTAAAAATAGTTCACTCTGATTTGAACCCACGACCTTCAGGTCTGCAGGCTAGCTTCTAGCCATTACACCATGGTGGCTTCCATTTTGAGAAATTAGGAAGAAATTAATAACGGTTACCATTTTATGATTGAAGATAATTTATCTTATTGACTGAAATTAAACTGTTACGTTACTGACAATTTTATAATAAAAAAAGCAGAAATAACGTTTTTACATATAAATACAATTATCACACGATGCATATTTTATAGTTACAAGACTTCATAAAAATTTATTTGTATTTTATTTCTAATGACTGAAAGATTTATAACTTTTCAACTAGGAAATTAAAAAAAAAAAAGAAATACTTATATTTTTTTATAATATCAACACAGTTCATGCAGATTGTGATAAACACACAGAAGGCGTTTCACCCGAGAACCAATTGATACACCTGGTATATTCATTTATAGACAAGTCATCCATGACTAAACATGCAAAATCGTTGATGCAACTAAAAACTATTAGTTGCATTAAGCTGTAGATTGCAATGGTGGCGGCATACAGACAGAAAATGGCAGAAAACAGATAGAACAGCTACACACACAACAGAGATGAATGGGAACAGAAGGTCTAGAGGACAGTGGAGAGATAACACACAGACAGATCTAAAATATTTAGTGTTACTAACTGGAAACAGAAATCTAATGACAAAGAGGAATAATGGTGCCTGACTATCTGCAGTAAGCAACCTCAAAGACTGAGAATGCTGAAGAAGAAGAAAAAGAGGAGGAGGAAGAAACAGAAGAACAAAAAGAGAAGAAGGAGAAGAAGTATTAGCCTTCATAATCTCCTTTCATATCTAAGTGAAAATACAACCAATCACTAATACTGTAAATTCATGAAAACTTGATAATTATCAGTCTGAGAGAGGAGAGGACGTTCATAAAAATTTTAATATCAGTCACAACAGAAATGTAAATTTATATAAATATGGTCATTGTGACGTTGAACATATGCAATTATGAGTCACGCATCATACAACTGATACGCCACTGGCTTTTACTTTGTCTATCAGTGACATAATCAAAAATACATTCATGAAAAAATTCAAACCTATTAGTGCCAGAGAGGAAAAAACAATCGTTGGAAATCGAAAAGAGTAGTCAAACGGCGCTGCCGGGCAAAATTTGGAGTTACAAATCTACGGAGTTCGTGCACTGCGTTGAGATTCTTCAGACTCATGGTTGAGTTAGAAGTAGAACGGAGCACTTATGGCTTACTACCCTTGTGTCATGATGTTGATTTGTTGTTTAAACCAGATAAGTAAGTAAGTATTTAAAGGACCCTTTTCCACGCTTTTAGGCGTATAGCGCATACAGGGCTAGACCTGTTTTATAGACCAATCGGCACAAAATCGGTGATGTGGTCAGCCTCATACCGGCCGCCTTTACTTCCTGGGACTGCACCTGATACCCACTCAAAGCTGGGGCGACCCAATTTTTTTTTTTTTTAAGTTCGGCTCCGCCAGAGAGCGAACCCACGACCTTCCGATCCGCAAGCTAACGTCTAAAAGTAAAGTAAAGATCCCCTTTTCACGCCTTCGGGCGCATCTGGCATATGGGAAAAGCACCCATATTTTAACAGACCAATCGGCCCTAGGTGGGTAATGTGGTCAGCAATACACCGGCTTTTTTTACTTTACCACGTCATACATACTGGTACCCATGTTAGGCTGGGTCGACCTGCGACGCCGCACCCCATGATAAAAATCCACGCAGCTAGCAGTGGGTTTAGATCACTGTACGTTGGAGCAGGTCCTTCTGTAGATAGAGAAGGACGTGGTTGGAATTGCCAGTCGGACTCGCAACACCTAAGCCATGGACGCCTCTTAAACCAGACAAGACCTAGATTAAAAAGCCTATCATTAGGTTTTCACTCAGGTCCTTCAGGAGCATGTGACAATAAGCAGGCTGAAAAGTTTGATATACCATGAACTACAGGATCAAGATCTAGGGGTCTCATGCATACCGCAAGATAAGCTCAGATCTGAAGCACCCTTTCACCACATGCTCTTCAAGAAAAAGGGCAATAGTCTCAAAAGGGGCAAATCATGGCTGTGTAGGGCAGAGGATGACATCATGCAGGTTTGTAGCCTTACAGTCATCCATCCAGGTGAGGAATGGATATCAGAGTCTAAAGCGCCCAATTTCACATTCTCCTGTGTTGTGACGCTCGATAGGAGTTGTCGGGAGCAGAATCCAGCTGCTGTCAATGCCTACCAGCAGCATGACGATGGAGGTGATGGCGGTGACACAAACTTCATGTGGCTAATCTAGTAATCTGGTAATCTGGCAATTTTAATTTCAGCTTCATAGCAAACGGGTCACCCCATCTTTGCTCCGCTCCTGTGCCAACGAAAAACACACAGAATGTTTATCACTGTCCCTTGTGGAAAGACTGACAAATTGCTGTCTCAGCAAATCTAGCATACACTCGCATTAAAAGCATATGGTAGCCAGCCGAAGTGCTAACACAAACAGTCATGTGGCTAGAATCACAGAGCTATTCTCGCGTGTGTGTGCTGAGTGCAGTAAGCTTAATATTCGTCCCAGGGTATGCAGGCGTTGTTGGCAATGAAAGAGCTGATAGACTAGCAGGTGCTGCATTAATTGAAGATGGCTGGTTCATGGATCACGCAGAGAGATAGGACGTTCTAGGGTTTTATGACGCAACATGTCAACATCACTGCTAAGAATACGAGAAATGGAAGCTAAGATCTGCATAGCCAAGCATGAGAAGCGCACCGGACGCACGTGAAATCTTGTTAACCAACATAGGACTGGCACTATTAACCACGCGACGCTGATGAATATGTTGAGAGAAGAATCTGAGCGCTTATGGATGTATCTGGAGTGCTGTGAAGATAATCTAACTCATAACTCAGTGCATTAGGGATTATGACATGTTTCACAATCCCAAGATACCCAGTTTGATTCCAGCTGCGGGCCTTTTGCCAGTAGACAGCTTTATGTTAATTTCGACAATAGTATAAAGAGCCATCCGTTTAATTAGCCATGGCAAACTTGGGAGCGTAAAATAAAAAAACTGCCTAGCAAGACCAAACAGTATAAAGCAATGGGAAGACAGGCAACATTTTAACTGGGTCGCTAACTGGAACTACTAGTACAAGAACACTTCGTTGGCTGCCAAGGAAGCGGATGCAGCATGTATGTCAATGTCCTGAACACAGTGAAATCTTTTCTTTATTCAGTCACTCAGTGTTAAAAATCTGTATTTTCTTTGCGTTTCCATCTTGAAAAAAAATTGGTTACATTATCTATTTGTAAGCAGTGCAGTATCATGAAAATCTTGCTTCTTTCATAATAAAACAAAGTAAATGCTGTTTCATTTACATAATAATGGTAACAAAAACCTTTCTTTTAGTGAATTAAATTATAAATAAATATACATTAGTTTACAACTTCCAAAATATTCGTGCAGGAGAATCAAGAATGCACATTTCACAAACAATGTTTATACCTAAAAGTTGATGATAAACTTAAAAAAAAAAAAAAAGAATTTAAAATAAAAAATTAATACTGCGTATGAACAAAAAGAACTAGGGCAAGTGTATGGTGTTTTACAATTTGAATCTAATTTATCTTCTGGGGGAAAAATAGGTTAGTTTATTGATACACATTTTCAGCAGAACAGTGACTCTTATCATGCACAATGCTGAAAAGCATAAGCAGATATGTATTCTTCTCCGCTGCACATGATCACTATCGTAAGGATCAGATCAGTGCTCTTGTACCCTGTGGCCATACCTTTTATGTATTTATCTCTTGCCCCTTTCCCATTTAAATGTTTTCTAAAATGTTTTAAGTTGAAAAGGTTCAATATGATAAATAGAGAACAGTTTTCATTGGGAAATACCAACTTTGATAATTTAATTAAATTTCAGAATCTTTCTTAAATTATTTTGCTATTTAGAAAAACAACTATAGAAGGTAATATAACTGATTTCATCAAACAGAAAGCTTCACAGAACAGACAGACAAAATTATATCTTCTAAGAAAAATATATCAGGCAAAATGAACGTCAATGCCAGTCATGCACACAATTTGCAGACTAAACTCTAAGCAAGGCAATGGTACCATTGATATCTGTTGATATGGACACACGGCCAACATAGATTCTTGATGTTACCAGTGAGAAAGAGCTACCAGGAATTATGTCTGAAATTGGAAGTAATCATTTTGTAGGACTAATGTTTTATTAACTAATGTTAAAACGATGATGGTTATTTTTTTTTTTTTGAAAAAAACAAAAAAAAAAAAAAAAAAAAAAAAAAAAAAAAAACCAAAACAAATAAAAATAGCAACAATAAAGTGATGTTTATAACGTAGTTTTTATAGAACATACACAGTAATATAATTCAATAGTCAAAACTAGCAACTACTATGTGTTATTTTTGAATGTTTTGTCACCATTCCACTACATTTGTTAAGTAGAATGCTGACCTATGCAGCCAAAACACAAAAGCAACAGTCTTCCAATTCGTGAATGTGGTTATATATGTAAATGTATGTGTATATGTTTCTACAAAACATGGCCAGAAGCAGACAACCTGAGAGACAACTGATGGCAGGTGAAATGTGGTTTACAAAACAAACAAACTATAAACTAGTTTAAAAACAGGGGCGACCTAGTCGAGCCAAAACCAAGAAATTCATCCAGTGAACTATGGCTTGTTGAAATGGTTTTTGTTGAGAAAGACTCGAGCTAAAATGTCCGATTTGTCTTGTGTGGGAACGCTGTGCCTCTTTGTTAAGCTTCATAGTCATAGTTCAGTGAATTCATAAACTAGATAAGGTCATGAGATGTACACAACCAAGATTTTGGGAGCTCTCCTGTGGAGAAATAAAACTTGAAACTGGAATGACAACTAACAATCTTGGAGCAGTGCTGGGAACCAAAAAGAATGTATGTATATGGTTGACTTGGTTATGTGATATAAATCGGGCAAGAACACAGACCAGATCTTAAACAGGTCATCATGTGTTATGGTAATGATGTTTTTACGAGGGAATGAGACAAACTGATGATGGGAGCAACGTTTTTTTTAGTAACAAAATGGTTTATTGGTTGTGTTAAATCTTAACAATGGCCAAAACATAAATAAAAACAAAGATTTGGACTTTTGAAGCTGGTCCTGTCTGGCAATGAACACATAGGTCACACGTATACCACACTCTTACAAAAAATGCATAGTCCAAAAACAACGAAATGTAAGGATAAAGGAATCCAGAAAAGGCCACAACATGGGTGTGTGTGCTTGATGCAGGTGAAAGTAAGATTATTAAGAAGTGCTCCCAAAGGCAAGACATTAACTGTCAAATCCTAACATACCAGTTGGCACGTTTTCTTCTCTCCTTAGGATAGTGGTATACCATGCGGAGAGAGAACTCACAAGTTTTAGACGCATAGCTGTTTTTAAATATTGGGTTTTGACAGCACAGACCAGCATTGTACTTAACATATTTAATACTGTTGTTTCATTACGACAGCATCATACTTTACATTTATTATATTAGATAATCTAATTATACAGATACAAAAACAATAACGATGAAAGTGATGCATCATGGAATAAAGCAGGTGGTGATTAGTGACCAGTAAATCTGCAATGTCTGTTGTGTGGCACCAGTTATTAAAAAAAACACAACTTATACACGACTATCTATACACTGAAAAGCTGGATGTTTACAACAGGAAAGAAAAATGATACTGCCAGTTTGTATAGGACATTTATATGGGGAGAATTGGCACAACAAGGCAACAAACTCTGGCTAATACCTGTAACGGGTCTGTCCTGATCGATTGCCATCTCAACAGTTTGCATTCTGCGTTTGATGAAAACGGTGTGCCAACGGTCATCATTGAGAGTGTGGCCGGCTGACAAAATCTGGTTAAAAAACAAAACAAAAACATGAGCTCAATAAATATACAGTTATTACACTCTTTTAGGACCACTTTTGTTTAAAGGGTGGGGGGGGGGGGGGGATTGAAATATTTTGTTCAATCTTCATATCCTAAACTAAATTATCGCCAATAGGTTTTCACTTGCATATCAGTCATAGAATATTGTCACAACCTGGCAGAGATTCATCAGCGACAGAGCAGTATGAAGAGTTCATTTGATATAGAAAAATCACGTAAAAATTGTATCACATCTAAGAAGTTAAAAAAAATTTTGAAAGTTACGCCAAAGCCACGCGGAACAGCACAAACGAAAGGACTTCGTATCGTATAGAAGAAAACAAAAATATCAAGCTTTGTCTTTTTTTTAAAGCCATCTGGTGACCTGCTTTCTCAAGGACGGTTCCTTTGCTTTCTGATTTGAGTTTGTGTTTCTTTGTGGCGATCATTTTCGCCTAATTTTCGATTTATTTGTAACATCATGTTTCCGGGTTTTCGGGAGTGGAACTGGCAGCCCTGAAAAGGACTGCCATTTTTGCCTGGGGCGGTTTGTAACGGGAAGGGCTGGGTCTCCTGTAAGCAGGTTGGTTGGGCTGTGAAAGGACTTCCTTTTGCTATTCAAAGCATCTTCATAAAAATTCGTTTTTCCCCTGCAAACGGAACAAAATTAGAATATCTCCATGATTTGCCAGAATACTGGACAATAGTCCGCTCGGAATACATCCAGAAGCCAGTTAACTGGTGATTAGTCCTCATAGAGTTAGTTAAAGTAGAGTGGAACCGTAAAAACTCAACATTTTATAATTTAACAACATTTTTTATATATATTATATATAAACATTTCACAAAATAAAAATTGTATTCGATAAGTCTGCTAAAATCGAAGTGTTAGGATCATAAGGAATGAGCACAGGATAAAATGAGTTGTGTGATATATAACAATCTATGAGCTCTGGCTCTTTTCACTCGCTCACACAGGGTCTTGATAAATCAGTGTGAAATAAAGACAATAAGAAGACACAGTAAGAAACATCAAATGGCAGCAGAAATATGATTTTAAGGAAATGCAGTAAATATCTAGAATGGGAAAAAATCACAAAAGCTCCTGTAGAATAGGCAAATATCTCGAAAACTCCTGTAGGATTAACACAAAGATTTGCATGTGGTCTTAGATTTCTCACGGCCTTAAGATTTTAAAATTTATAATTGCACAGGTGCTGCTGTTTTCTTACAGCTTCAAATTTCTTTGATTTTTTTCGGACTAATACTATGTGTTACTCCATCAAAAATTTTCCCTCCCTATCCCCGCCCAATAGACATTAACTGAAAGATATGGTTTACTTTTTATGAGCTAATCAAAAATGCCTTTTAGCAATACTTGACATTTCCACTTTACTATTCAAAATAAGCACGCCTTAGCTTTTTAACGCGGATTATCCGCTATCGCAGGGGATCTGAGGATAACATGAAGATGGGGATAAACATAATGATGACGATAAAGATGATAATGGAAAAACTAACCTTGGCACCACTGCCGACATCAACGGACAAATAGAGCACCCCTCCCTCCAGATACAACTCCATCCCATCGCCTTTCTCGCCCGCCGTTAGGAAGAGAAGTCCATTTGGATGCATGGTTCGAAACCTCAGTGAGATGTCCTCTGCTTGTGTAACCGACTCTGTAGCCATGGTAACCTTCATAAACTGTGTTCCGTCAAATCTCAGAGTCACCGCAGCTAAAGGACAAAGCGAGCGTTAGAATTATTATTGAGACCAGAAAATGAATTCTCAAAATCCATTTAAATTTTATCCTGATATATAGAAGGGAATCATGGACAATGACACCATTAGTGACAAATTTGTTGGAAGTGGCAACGATGTGATTTGACAGACGAATGATGAGAATACCGTGGGCTGATAAAAGAGAAATGAAAATGGCCTGAAAGAAACTGAGTTACGTACGAAAAGAGCGGATTGCCTACATCAGAAGGAGGCAGTCTACATCCTTTGGTCATGTCATGAGAAGGAGAAACTAAAATGGGAAAGGTGGAAAAAAAAAGGGGGGGGGGGTGGGAATCAGGGGAAGACCAAGAGAGAAGATGCTGAATAGTTTGACATCATGGCATGGAAGGTCATCTTGCCAGAACTGATTGCGACATTTCAAACACTGGACCTGCCGCGATATGACATTTTAAACATTAGACCTGCCGTCATGTGACATCTCAAACATTGGACCTGACGTCATGAGACATCTCAAACATTGGACCTGCAGTCATGTGACATCTCAAACATTGGACCTGCCGTCATGTGACATCTCAAACATTGGACCTGCCGTCATGTGGCATCTCAAACATTGGACCTGCCGTCATGTGACATTAGCCTTTGGTTACTTGACCAATGAAACTGTCTATACTAACCTGTCTGACAGACGCTGCCAACGTATCCTGTAGCTCGACAGTCGCAAGTGAAGCGGTTCCAGCCTTCTATACATCGTCCATTGTGGTTGCAAGGAAGGCTCAAACACTGACGCTCTAGCTGTGGATGCAAATAGTTTTTCACAAAGGTCACTTCTCCCTGTGTGGATTCCGGGACCTCATAGTGGGGAAAAACTAGAAAAGACCCACTGCACTCCCTCCCCACCCCCTCTGACAAGAATGTCATAGGAGTCAACTGAGCAGGGTTATCTTTCGAAGTTGGAGTACATCTGCCTGAAAGGTAAGGAACCAAGAGTCTGCATATAAATCAGCCAGATTTTTAAAACGGATGTGCACTTAACACTCCGGTTCTAGAACAGAGCTAAAGTCCGGAGGTGGATGAACACCCAGAACCTCTTTCCATCAGTTTACAGTCGGTGAACGTAAAGAAGAAGAAGAAGAAGAAGAAGAAGAAGAAGAAGAAGAAGAAGAAGAAGAAGAAGAAGAAGAAGAAGAAGAAGAAGAAGAAGAAGAAGAAGAAGAAGAAGAAGAAGAAGAAGAAGAAGAAGAAAGAAGAAGAAGAAGAAGAAGAAGAAGAAGAAGAAGAAGAAGAAGAAGAAGAAGAAGAAGAAGAAGAAGAAGAAAAGAAAAAAAAGAAAGAAGAAGAAGAAGAAGAAGAAGAAGAAGAAGAAGAAGAAGAAGAAGAAGAAGAAGAAGAAGAAGAAGAAGAAGAAGAAGAAGAAGAAGAAGAAGAAGAAGAAGAAGAAGAAGAAGAAGAAGAAGAAGAAGAAATTTAACTTTTATCGAGTGACCGACCAGTATATGATGAGTCTGAGATTTCTAATATTTATAATAAACAAAAGACATGCACTGATCGACATTCATAGAAAGAATTAGAGAGCTAGGACACGTCAAACAGCCTAAAATCAAAAGCTGTTTTTACCATGCCAGGAAATTTAACTTTCACATCCAAATGACGAAAGCCCCTCGCTGCAGAAACACGTGTACTAAGACCAACTAGACAGCTGTTTGACCTGCTATTGCTGTCTTACTATATGTGTCTTTTCATAAATTATGTGTAGCCCAAAAATTGATGCTATTTTGCTAGATTTACCTTTCCATATTTGTCTTTGCCTGCCATTGTTGATCTTTCTTAACAGAACAATTCTTAAAGGTTAGTTGGGTATCCTTTACAGGACGTTGCAGAACCAACCCAAGCAGCCCCTGGCTGTTGTGTGGTTTCTCTAGGCAAATTTACGTCCAGTAGTTTGTCACTGCTTACTGTACGGTCGGATTCTTAACACCACTGTCGAAATTAATGCAAGGCGCATGTCCCGCAGCTGGGATCGAACCCGGCACCCCGGCATTACGAAGCGTTCGGCATCGACTTAGCCAGAGAGCCGACAGAACAAATCTGCAAAACCAAAATCTACAAGTTCCAGGCAATGGGAGACTTTCCAACATATTTTCCCATCACCCAGTCACATAAACATAATAACAGAGTAGATAAAACACAACTCTGTGTTCACTTCATTTTCAAATGCAAATTAATAACAGAAATAATCATGCATTCGCACATACAGACACACACCAACATAAATTAAGTTGGGGCCTTCAACAATTATATTTAACAGAAAAGACACTAGAAAAAACAACAAAGATTTAAACACTTTTGTATACGAATATTAGCTGGAAACTTTTAGGTTTCTTTCTTTCTTTCTTTCTTTCTTTCTTTCTTTCTTTCTTTCTTTCTTTCTTTCTTTCTTTCTTTCTTTCTTTCTTTCTTTCTTTCTTTCTTTCTTTCTTTCTTTCTTTCTTTCTTTCTTTCTTTCTTTCTTTCTTTCTTTCTTTCTTTCTTTCTTTCTTTCTTTCTTTCTTTCTTTCTTTCTTTCTTTCTTTCTTTCTTTCTTTCTTTCTTTCTTTCTTTCTTTCTTTCTTTCTTTCTTTCTTTCTTTCTTTCTTTCTTTCTTTCTTTCTTTCTTTCTTTCTTTCTTTCTTTCTTTCTTTCTTTCTTTCTTTCTTTCTTTCTTTCTTTCTTTCTTTCTTTCTCTCTGTCTGTCTGTCTGTCTGTCTGTCTGTCTGTCTGTCTGTCTGTCTGTCTGTCTGTCTGTCTGTCTGTCTGTCTGTCTGTCTGTCTGTCTGTCTGTCTGTCTGTCTGTCTGTTTGTCTGTTTGTCTGTCTGTCTGTCTGTTTGTCTGTCTGTCTGTTTGTCTGTCTGTTTTCTTTCTTTCTTACTTACTTTCTTTCTTTCTTTCTTTCTTTCTTTCTTTCTTTCTTTCTTTCTTTCTTTCTTTCACACATATCATTATCGTCATGTGCCGTGCCGGTAAGCGTAGGCTGTCATGTTTGGCCATCTTGCACGATCACCAGAATCTCGGATCAGTTCAATGTTTTCGGCTCGCTCCATCCATGTGGCCAGACCACCCAGCTGTTTATCATTTTCCTTTCTTCCTACTCTCTATCCATAAATTTTGTCAGTTGTTACACAATTCTTGAGTAAATTTCTCTCATAACAAGTCCAAATAATACTACGTCTAATTATTCTAATAGGTTTACGACTCTCATCAGTCTCGATGAAGACTGCTTCGTTTGTTTGTCTATCCTTCCATGAGATTCTTTTTATTCTTCTCAGAAACTTAATCTCTGCTGCGGGTAAATGATTTTCTGTTTTACTTATTGTCCATGTTTCACAAGTATTTAACAACTCAGGTTCTACTTCGCACTTTAACACTTTTTCTAACTGAAGTTGACATCTTCTTGTTAGTGAGAATCTTTTTCATCTTCCCAAAGGCCACTTTTTGCCATGACGATTCTTGTTCTAATTTCTGCAAGATATCTTGCATCAGATGTTATTATTCTTTCTAAATAGTTGCATCTATTAACTTGCTTAAGAAATTTGCCATATGCATGTATTTCACACTTTGGTATTCATTCACTCACTCACTCACGCTAACGCAAGCGTGCGCGCGCACACATACACGCACACACACAAACACATACAGACACACACAAACACAGCTATAGGTGGGCTAGTGCCAGATCCAATAAGTAAATCCACTTATTAAAAATTTCCCTAAAGGTGTTTAAACCGTTATATCTGTCAAGATTCTTGTCAACACGACAAGGGACTTACCTTTCTACAGTATCCAACCACATCTGTCTTGTTTTGTTGTTTGGTGGCCTCGACAAGATCCACTTGATTGCCATTGAGAACCAGATCCTGAAGGCAGCCAACATAGGACAGGCCCAGCATGGCGGCCCACAGCTCTCTGGGCAGACTGGAGACGTTGATCTCTGGACCTAAACCTCCCACATACAGGTGGCCGTGGAGGTCAAGTCTGTCTGACACTCGCAGCGAGGAGAAGGGTTCCTTCTGTCCGTCGATGGAGATGTATCCTTTGTTGTCTGTATACTCAAAGTAGACATCATGAGGGTTGCCGTCTGTCACTGGGAGTTTGCTCGCCTGTACCTGGATACGGCATATCACAACTGTACAGCGTGTCAAGTCTGTATGTACTGGAATTTTCTAAACTATGGCTTGTTACAATTTAGTTTGAGGAGATGCCGAGTAATAAGAAGATATAACATTAAAAATGAAGAGACTAGACGAATACTAGAACTTGAATAAATCACACAGTTCATTTAAGAGCAACAGATGATATATTTTGTCCATGTAACGAGAATGCCCAAGTACCAAATGTCAAAGAGAGCCACGATGAAGAAATATAACAAGTAAAATTAAATCAAATACAATAATCAACTAATAAAACCACTAGACAATGACTAACTGGCCCCTTTCCGTCTTTTAAGACGATAGTGTTATATTAAACTATGAGGGGGGGTGGGGTGGGGGGGGGGGCACGGGACTCACAGCCCATGGGGATGGCGAGTGTGACTAGGAAGACGCCCGCGCTAAAATGAAAAAAATTCTTCAACAATTACAGCATGGGATTTCAGGACCGTTGTTGTCAACATTTATGTTTAATCTGCTTCTTCTCAGTTAGGTTCTCTTAATACTGTATATTATTATGTCTTATTCTGGTCTCGACTAAATTTATCGATGTGTTTCGTTTGTTTTAAATCCTGGCTGTGACGTATATTTGTTGCCATTCACTTGCCAGCCATAAAACTCAGTTCCGTGCAATTTTCTTTCACCAGAATTCAGGACTGGATTTAGATTCAATGACGCCGTTAGCCGATTATGCTCTGATGGCGATACTTATGTTAATTACATCACCTAGTCTCATGAAACTTACAAATATATTCTTGATAGAAATATATTGCTATTAATTTTTTTTATTTAAAGAAAAAAAAAAAAAAGGAAATGTGCTCGCATAATCATAGAAATTAAAGTACATAATTCTCTAAAAGGCTCTAAGGTAAAACCTAAACACTTTTTTAAATTGTATTTTATTTCCTAGTAAAAATAATTGCCATTCAAAGATATGAATTGTCTGAGGCCCCTGCAGACTGCGAAACCCCAAGCTGTAGCTAATTTAGCTTATACCTAAATCCGGCAAAGCCAGCATGACTCCGCAGACAGTACAGTTTTACACGAGAGACTGAGATGCAGCAGTTATTCCAGACTAAAACATGACGGTTCGTAGTTTGAGTTCACCAGAATAATTCGCCAAAGACACACAAATGTTCACGAAATAGCTGCAACAACACAGAATAACCTTACCTAATATGGAAGTATGCCTGTAGAATTAGATGTAAAATAATCTTAGTCTTTCTCTGTTATCGCTCATGATTTAATTCCTGTTTTTTAATCTCAAGTTCTTTTTGTTGTTGACGCTCTGCAGTATCATCAAATCATCACTGTTGTCATCGCTGCCTTCTTCTTCTTCTTATTTTTTAATTGTTTTATTTTTCTTCTTCCTCTTCTTCTTCTTCTTCTTCTTCTTCTTCTTCTTCTTCTTCTTCTTCTTCTTCTTCTTCTTCGTCTTATTATTATTATTATTATTATTATTATTATTTGTTTTAAATCTGCTTTTCTTCGTCTCCTTCTTCTCCGTTTCCTTCTTTTTACATTTCTTCTTCTAACCACTCTGTGTGGATGAAGATATAAAGTTCTGCTACTGCCTTCTCTAGACATCTCAACCAAAGTCCTATCCTGCTGTTGTAGAGTTTCTCTAAAAGTTTTCTTCCCATTTTGTTTTTGTTTCTTTCTTTCTTCTTTCCCCTTACTCGTTTGTTGTATAATTTTTTTTTTTTTTTTTTTGGGATGCCGTCGCAAGGATTTCCTTGTAAGTGAGACCACCATTTTATTTGCTGATGTATGTAATTAAGAACTGGTTCTGTCTCAAATGTCAAGTTTTAACAAAATGAACACTGGTCAATGAGATGTCTGCAGGACCCAAATACGTCATTTGCTGGTACAATCAGTGTTGTATTTGACCGAAGTCTAACAAACGTTCAACAATTATGTTCATATACCAATGTTCAGACGAGGGTTAAAGAGGCGAGAACGAGAGAAAAGAATAAAATAAAGACAAGCGGGAGGAGGAGAAAGAGGAAGAGGAGGAGGAGGAGGAGGAGGAGAAGAGGAAGAAGAAGAAGAAGAAGAAGAAGAAGAAGAAGAAGAAGAAGAAGAAGAAGAAGAAGAAGAAGAAGAAGAAGAAGAAGAAGAAGAAGAAGAAGAAGAAGAAGAAGAACAAGAAGAAGAACAAGAAGAACAAGAAGAAGAACAATTACAAAAAGAACAAGAAAAACAAGAATAATTGCAAGACGTGAAACATTACACAATGGCACTACATTACCTTCAGAATCCCTGACCCCATGTCAATGATAAGGTGCAAATGATTATCTAACAGTTCCAGTGCAAAAAAATCTCTGCTGTATTTATCACCATTGCTGTACATCATGAGACCACCAGACTCCACGGTCCTAAACTGGAATGCTAAAGATCCTTTTGAGCTGTCAAATATGAAAAATAGAATACCACTACAGAGAGACACATCTCATGACAGGCAGTGTGTGGTCAAGTGTTTATATACTTGTTTAAGATAACATAACATAGCATAACAGGATGACATAACATAACATAACATAACACGATGATATAACACTTATTCAGTAACTGATAGCATGCCGCTATAGAGAGACACATGTCATGACAAGCAGTGTGTGGTCAGGTGCTTACAGACTTGTTTAGGATAACTTTACATAGCATAACATAATGACATAACATAACATGACATAACATGATGACATAACACTTTTTCAGCAATTGATGGCATGCCACTACAAATAAAGATTCCAAGACACTCGCCTCGACCACTTGATTAGTCGATTATTTTATACAACCACAGACATTTCATGACAGCCTGTGTGTGTGTGTGTGCGTGCGCGCACGCACGTGTGCGGGCGCGTATGTGCGTGTGCGTCTGCGTGTGTACGTGTGTGTGTGTGATTTTTGTAAGGGATTTCCCAAAATTGCTATTGCCTCTTTGGTCTTCCCTTTCTTTGGCATGACTGTTCTCAAACTATTATTTTTTTTAATTTCAAATATCACCACTGTTCATAAAAAGGACCAAGAGAGACCTTGCGTAGAACCATCATCAGAGAAGGCTCAAACATGGCCTAACAAACATCCAAGGCCTAAACCAGGTAACAACGAACCGCCAGATTTGGAGAGCTATGACTTCAACTCTATGCGCCGCCCTAGGTTCCAGAAGAAAGACTAAGTAACTAACAGTCCGTGTCAAATTTTCATGTACCCCAGGACGGCCAGTTGAAAAATACAAATGAGTATTCAACGAATAATTAAATCAAGCCAATTTAAAGTTGATCAACAAGCCTACTGGTCCGCTCGAAGCGTTGCTCCTTTTTAGCCACTCCACTCTTTAATACCAACCCTGACATTAACCTATGGATATTGATTCATGTTGCTGGAATTACGTATTTCTAGTCAATTCTCTAAGGGCGTTTCAAATGTCCTCTATATGCAATGGATGAATTCCACGATGTATTCTTCTATATGTGTGTATGTATTCTCATAGATTCTGTGGATTAGAAGACATAATTGCCCTACTTAGATCCTAGTTTGCGTCCATCAGTCTGACTCTAGCGGTGGTTAATAAAACATGCGAGGATTGGCGATAAACAGGACGAAAACAAGTCATTAAAGTGCTTGTGTAAAACATACGCCAGTGTCCACTGGAGAGACACTTTAATTGTAATGTTCTGACTAAAAGTAAAGAAACACCATACAAGATGAAACGGACGCCAGTGTCCACTGGAGAGACACTTTAATTGTAATGTTCTGACTAAAAGTAAAGACACACTATACAAGATAAAACGTACGCCAGTGTCCACTGGAGAGACACTTTTATTATAATGTTTTGACAAAAATTAATTTAACAAAATTAGACAAGATATTGCGCCATGGCTGGGATTCATGAACTGGGAGCGATTGTACATCACATTTTAGTGACTGTTTGGGGGTAAGGAGATGAGGAGACAAAGGCAACACAGGGACTACCATGTTTACTTGCCTGCTAACTAATTAAATGTTTCAACCGCCACGGCAGCAAACTTTAAAAATTGGACCGAACCTAAAATGGGAAATAGGAAATGTCCTTGGAAGTCAAGACGGTATAATACAGACCACATCGAGCACCGACTGGTCAATAACAATTGGGAGCTGAAATACTAATGACAGTACAGTATAACCTCTTTACCATGAACCCGCTCAAGATGAACAACCGAGTAATGAGAACGAGTTTGTAATCCCTGCAGAGATGTATTTATTTTATTCACGGTTTAGCAGGAATTGTTTAAACACGAAATCCTGATTTTTCTGTCCTTAGGTATTCGTGTTAATGAAGTTTCATTGTAATCTTTGTTCACGAGAGGAAAATATTAGCCGAAACCGAACCTAACGAAGACAAAAATTATGAAACCAGTCAACGACCGCAGCATCAACTTAAGTGGCGGACTGACCAGTGTCCAGCGTCTCATGCACCTTCTTTGTCATCTGTGGTGACGCACACCACAAACTAATTAACAGATGCCTTACAACATGCTAGATATCGATTGTATGAATGTAACCGAATGCAAGAAATAGATCGTTTTGACGCTTATGTCAATAAGTTAGGAACTAATAAAGAAAGTATGCACATTACTGGTATAAACATTTTATAGAACTCCATAGAACCAAATCGTTTGGTAATCTGGTCCGAATGAAACCAAATCAGCCAACTGCTAGTGTGGTCTACATGATAACATCAGGCTACGAGGCAAGAGGCCGACCAAGAAAGCTATGGATGGAGAGTGTCAAGGAGACTTTAACACAAGCTACGCAGCTAGCAAAAGACAGAAAACTACATCTAACTGCTCTTTGCGACGCTCAGCTGCAGAAGAAGTCAATGGGGCATATAGTAAAAGATATATGAACTATTTTTTAAACTGACTAATCAGCACTCTATGTGTAATATAGTCAACAAGAAAATGTCCGTTTTTACTCCCCAGGACATTACCTGCTACTAATTTTAGACTGGATGGATCTGGGGACCTATGTCAATTTGGAAAACAAATCCGCCTGGACGCTGACTCGAACCCTAGACCCCCTGACCGACATGCAAGCGTTTAGCTGCTCGGCTACAGCGAACCTCAGATCCTTGGATGAATCGTTCTCACTTCAGCATGAACCTCACGTCTCTTGAACAAGCTTAAGGTTGTGTTTTTTTCCCTTTCGTGGCATTTTCTAATATTTTCTAAATGGATTTCTAATGTCTTTCTGATCTCCCCGTGTTTCATTTACTTGTTGGGTGAGAAAAATGACCATTCAATAATACCATTGGATTGTTTCTTCAAGGCTTGTTTGGCCCTGCACTCTCTTTTCTGTCTTACGCTAACGCATTTTCCCTAGCTTTTCCCAAAGATTTGACTTGAGATCCCGCCAAGCCAACTTAATCTGCCGATCCTGCACCAGGGATTGTTAATCTAAGCTCCCAATTTCTTGGAAATCAATGTTGTTCGTGTCTTTGAGCCACACGGGAGAATGTCTTCAGATTTCTACTGGTAACATTTTACTGTGGATTATATCAGGTTTATTATCATTTTACATTACTTCTTCTCACTTTCATGAAAACTGTCAGTGTTCTTCAGCAGCGATAACGTATATTCTTTCTTTCTTTCTTTCTTTCTTTCTTTCTTTGTTGTTCGTGTCTTTCTTTTTCTTTTCTTTCTTTCTTTCAGATTTTTACTTTCTTTTCTTTTCTTTTCTTTCTATTTCTTTTTTTTATCTTTTTTTTTCTTTCTTTCTTTTTCTCTTTCTTTCTTTCTGTCTTTTCTTTCTTTCTTTCTTTCTTTCTTTCTTTCTTCTTTCTTTCTTTCTTTCTTCTTTCTTTCTTTCTTTCTTTTCTTTCTTTCTTTCTTTCTTCTTTCTTTTTCTTTCTTTCTTTTCTTTCTTTCTTTCTTTCTTTCATTTCTTTCTTTCTTTCTTTCTTTCTTTCTTTCTTTTTCTCTCTTTCTTTTTCTTTATTTTCTTTCTTTCTTTCTTTCTTTCTTCTTTCTTTCTTTCTTTCTTCTTTCTTTCTTTCTTTCTTTTCTTTCTTTCTTTCTTTCTTTCTTTCTTTCTTCTTTCTTTCTTTCTTTCTTTCTTTCTTTCTTTCTTTTCCTTTCTTTTCTTTTCTTTCTTTCTTTCTTTATCTTTTCTTTCTTTCTTTCTTTCTTTCTTTCTTTTCTTTCTTTCTTTCTTTCTTCTTTTCTTTCTTTCTTTCTTTCTTTCTTTCTTTCTTTTTCTTTCTTTCTTTCTTTCTTTCTTTCTTTCTTTCTTTTCTTCTTTCTTTTCTTTCTTTCTTTTCTTTCTTTCTTTTTTCTTTCTTCTTTCTTTCTTTCTTTCTTTCTTTCTTTCTTTCTTTCTTTCTTTCTTTCTTTCTTTCTTTCTTTCTCTTTCTTTCTTTTCTCTTTCTTTCTTTCTTTTTCTTTCTTTTCTTTCTTTCTTTCTTTCTTTCTTTGGTTTGTTCTACTATTTATGCCGCAAAGCGTCACAGAGAGTAGTTATATATGTAGTTTATTGTATTTTGCTAGTTTGGTAACTTGTGGTAATGTCACATTGCGTTTCTTTGGTGTCTTTTTTTACTTCCTCCACCCATTTTTTGTTGGTCGGCCTCTTGCATTGAAGCCTGCTGTTCTGGTTGTATTACGTTATAGCTGCTGGCTGATTTAGTTCTGTTCTGACCAGATGACAAAACCATTTGATTCTTTGATATTCTATGAAATCATTCACCAGTACTGTGCTTACAATTGTTCTGTTCTTCATTGGTGACTGTCTCATCTTTTTATTCCCGCCGCATTTCTTTTACCTGTAATCTCACATGACGTCATTAGGCAGAGTACGACCACGACAACTGTTTGTCATTTTGAGACACATTTGGCTTTTAAGTTACAACTTGGAACATTTTGTTTTCTCAATTTCAAAGCTGTAAAATCATTGTCATTAAAAAGGGATTCCCATTAACAAATATAAATTCTTTGAGGCCCCTGTAGATTGCGAGGCCTCAAGCTGTAGCCTTTTTAGCCTTTACCTAAATCCGGCAAGCCAGCATCATTCTCCGACACTGTCAGAATTATCATCAGAAGGTGTAAGTTTTACAGGAGAGAATGTTATATAGCAGTTAATCGAGACTCGCTTCAGGTGGTGGTGATAGTTTTTGACACACTGACTGGCATTACTCTCTTTGACATTGTATTCATTTAGAAGCGCAGATAATCTTGTATAATCGGCCCTAATGTGGATTCTAACTCATGGGCACGTGATAGGCAAGTATAAGTTCATGACACTGCGACTCGAGGACTGGAGGTCCCAGGTTCATACCCCGGTGAAAGCTGGGATTCTTTCACGTGGACTTCTAGTAATTCCCTCTGGTCTGTGAGTAGTAAGATGGGACGCCCGTGTGTATTTTTGCGCACGTTAAAAAATACCTTGGTAGATAGAAATCGTAAAAGAGTAGCCTAACGGCACTGCTCAGGCAAAATGTGAGGTTAAAAATCTACCCACAGCATTTCATGATCCTCGTCTGTGCATCTGAGTTCGTGCCTTGTGCAGAAATTTTTCCGACTCAGGCTTGAGTTAGAAGTAGAACGGATCACTTAAAGGTTACAATCGTGTGCCGCGATGTTGATCCATTGAATAAACATAAAACACTGAGCTACCAACGGCTGCCATGTCTGTTCTCCAAAGCTTCATATTAATTACACCGTGTGGGTTCCATAGTCCCATGTGGGATGGGGGGTAGGAGGAGGTGGAGGGGTCGTTAAGAGGAGACAAGAATGGACCCTATGCCTTTCCAACAAGCATGTCATAAAGGTCGACTGACTGGAGCCTTCGTTCAAAGTCGGAGTTCACCTACCTGATAGTTAAATAACCAACAATCTACAAGCAGACAAGTCAGATCTGTAAAACGGATGTGCACACAACATTAAGGTTTTGAAGAAGACCAAAGTCCTCAGGTGGGCGAACAACCAGAATTTCCGGTCAGAGTTTACACCCTGTGAACGCGAAGACAAAGAAGAATATTAATTATTCCGCACGGATTCCGTTGTCCCATTTGTGGAGGGTGGAGTGGGGGGGGGGGGGGGGGGGGGGGGGGGGGGGAGAAGGGGAGCAACAACAATTTTGTCCTATAAAAGCATGTCTTAAAATACGAATAATTATGACTATGCTGAAATCGAATGTGTCGGTCTAAAAAAAACCTAATTATCACAGCCCGGCTGCAAACCACATCATAGGATGTCAACAACCCTTTTAAGGGCGAACGCTGAAGATGAATAACATGGTTGTGGTCCAGCAGATAGACAGAGACGGCTCTGGTATACTTCACTTCCATACACTAGGAAAGACCCCCAATAACTGGTAAGAATGATATTTATAATCATAGTATTAGCTCCGAAACACATGCACACCAGTCATAATAACAGATAATTGTGACAAGTATCATTGTTCTGTTGAAATGATACATGATGATGATGTTCGTCCATCAAAGGTGATGATGACCAGTCAATTCTTCAATGGTGACTGGATTATGGTTTTTAGGTGCGCAGATGACTGATAAGTCAGTTCTAGCAATTAAAATTCTTGAGCAGTTTGGACAGGCAATTGAATCCGCATCTATGGTCCCATATATTCGTCCCAGGACAAGCAGGCGTTGTTGGTAATGAAAGAGCTGACAGACTGGCAGCTGCAGCAATATTTGAAGATGGCCGGCCCATGGATCACGCAGACAACGCCATTGCCCCTAGAGAGATAGGGCGTTCTGAGGATTTTGGAAGCAACGTGTCCACATCAATGCTAAGAATACGCGAACTGGGAGTAAAGATCGGCACAGCCAAGCATGCGAAGCACACCGGACGCACACAAGTCTTGTTAACCAACATAATACTGGAACTATTAACCGCACGACGCTGATGAATATGTTGGGAGATTAATCTGAGCGCCTATGGATGTGTCCGGAGTGCTGTAAAGATAATTTAACTCATGACTCACTCATAACTCACTCAGTCTTTGGTGACTTGCTTCAGTGTCTTTTCTGGCTTGCCTTTTCTGAATTGCTGCTGCAGTTCTAGCAGGTACATGGGCCACAGGTCCTCAATGAAGAAAGAAACGCCAGGATGAGCGGTCACGTGCAGCGACTACCCCGATTTTAAGATCAATACAGAAGTCTTTCAGTAAGGTCTTGAGGTTTTCCTTGAAACGTTTCTTCTGTCCACATTGAAAGCGTTTTTCTTTTAGTAGCTCACCATAGAAAAATTATTTTTGGCAGTCGGTGATCAGGCATGCGGACTATATCACTGGCCCTGCGAATTTGTGATTGTAGCTCGGATAGGTGAGAAGCGATCATAAGACCTGAGCCGCCTGTGTGTGAGTCTGCAACTACGACTGTCAGCGCACCCAGGCCTGCCGTTTCGCCGTTTGCTTATCGCCACAGGACTTGGTGATAAAGGTTGAGGGATGGATGATAGGTTGACTTGCATGGTAACTTTGATTTAAGTGAGGAAAAATTGCGCAAATTCATCGAGCTCACTCTCGCACCCGTCCATCATAGTCCGGTGGCAAGACGAACCAAGACATCTGGAGATAAACTCAGGTTCAGCGAATGACCAGGGCTTCTTTGGAGCTTTGCCGTGCTCAAGGCTCTCCACAGAGCCTGCTGGTAGTCGCCTTGTTGTCCGTTGAACCAAGGTGGTTTCATCCGCACAGTCCGCCGGATCTAAACTTTGCATGCTGAGTAGGCTTTTTGTAACGCATCGATCAGTTTGGGCTGATCGGCTAGCCTCTCCTGGTTTAGCCAGCTCGTCAAAGCTGTTGCCCAGAGGGTGACCGCTTCACACGCAGACAGCTACTAGTAGCCGCAGGAGAGAGAGCTGGATGTCTCCATTGATCCAATGGTTGGTGTACTACGCTGAAACGGGCATGAAATAATATCTACAATGAAATCCGACCACATGTCAAAGGACAATTTTGCAGACAAACTAAGACAACCAAGGATGGACATACTTAATTCCTAAAATCCATCGTCAGATTCTCACCTGGTTCTGTCCCAGGTAGGAACAGTGAGGTAGGATTCCTGTGTTGTAAAGGTGACAGGTTGAGACTCCACCAGCTCCCGACACTTGTCAAAGATGACATCGCCGACCACGTCCAGTAATCCATGTTCTTTCCGCGCCAGTTCGGTCAGGTCTAGTCTGATACTGTCTGCCTGGTATCTGACCTAGTTCACAGATGACAGGGATTATTGTGGCAATATGTCTTTATATGTTATTGTGTTGCTTTGTCTTCTTCTTATTTTTGTTTTGTGTATGTGTCTCTAGCTACATCACATCCAGATAATATGGATAAGCATAGATAATAAATACAGAGGCAATGGTAACAGGTGACAAAAAGAAGCCATATCAATCAAAGTGAACATCAGAAATAAAACAAACGAGCGAATTCTAGGGTAATTTATCACCTCAGATGGAAGAATGGGTAGAGAAATCAAAATACGATGTGCGAAAGCAAATCAGACTATGGGAAAATTAACATTGCTCCTGACGCATAGAAGGATACCTCTGTCAGCCAATGCAAATCTCAAATGAACATTGTTTTGGCCGACATTGTGCTACCAGTTCCAAAAGTGGATTCTTACTACAACTAATGATCGGAAGATCGTGACAACAGATAGAAGAAGAGTAGGACTGAAACCAGTCATACAATTTATTAAACAACAACAAATGAAATTCTTTGGCCACCTGACGAGAATGCCCTGGTACCAACTGCCACAGAGAGCCATACTGAAGAAATATAATGAACACAGTGCAAGGGGAAGACCACGCACGACATAGAGCGACATCACCAGCAGCAACGTAGCAGAAATAAACACCAGCGTGTGCAATGCATTGAAAAAAGCGCACAAACGATCCTTATATCTCCCCCTAACACCTCGCTTAGGTAAATGGTGGAAGAGAAGAAGAAGAAATCATCTAGATAGTTGTCGTTTCAACATTGTTTAAGCCAAACGGTTTTTACATTAGTGCAGCAGCCATTGAGCCTCAGTAAGTTACAACATCCTTCATGCAGGGCCTGATTTAAACTGGATGAGACCCTAAGGAATACCCGGGGTCCCTAGTGTTTTATTATGTAGCAGCTTATCTGAAGAAAAAAAAAACTTTAAAATATATACGCATTACTAAATAAATGGATGACGTAACCACAACTGTTGTGCTATGAAATGCGTGTTCAGGATCATTGCCTAGTCTCGTGACAAGTTGTAAAGGCGTAACTTATGTGGTTAGGGCTAGGGTTATGATAGTTCACGTCGATACTGATATTCTTTCTCTCTCTCTCTTGTCTTGTCCACAATTGCCTCACAGCGTAGTGGGGAGTCGCAGTTTTCTATCCTGGGTCAGGTGTGTTGCACGTGTTGTTGTTAGTCCATGTTGCCTCAGGATCTCTGATATATTGTCTATCCATAGTACTCTCGGTCTGCCTCTTGCTCTAGGGCAGTAGATATTCTTTACCTAACTAAAATTATACACGTGTTTAAAATAGAAAAGAAAACATCTGTTTCGATATAACTGGGCAATCTAAATATTATTCACATCGAGATACAAATATGAGCCCATGCAAAAAAAAAAAAAAAAAATTTGTCCATCCTCTAATGGAAGCTCTCCTTCTACACCGGTTGCTAGTCAGGACAAATCTGGACCACGAATTAACATATCTTATGTAACCTCTTCGAAGCGTTAACCATCTTTCAGAGAAAGATCTTTGTGCTCTCCACTGAAAACCATAGCTCAAAACACCAACCAGAAGACAGTTGTGACTCTATCTTTAGACAGCCAAAGGCACCAACTTCAGACCTATATGACGTCGTCAAAACAACCACAAACAGGCCTTGTAACTACATATAATATCGGGTTATTTATACGACGGTCTCCCCATTTACACACCACTGGTTGTAGGTCAACTCCATTGATAGGTTGGTTGGACTAGTCTACCTGGGTCGAGGTTTCGCAGTCTGTTGTTGTCTGGCATTTACGTTTTTGTTCCGAGAAAGAGACGGTCTGTGGCATGTTGTGTGTTAGACCCAGTATCCAAATGTTTTCTAGTTTTAAAAGCTCTAGCACGATAAAATATACAACACGCTTTTTGAGCGCGAGTGCGGAACATCCCCGTGACCTTGTGTGAAAGTCGGATCGCTCGAGGCCGACCTATCAGAGGTGATGTGGTCGGTAGGTCTTCTAATCAGAAGCGAGCTAGTGTGTAGAGGTGTGTAAATGGGGAGACCATCTTCAAATTTACCTTATACTGTACGAAACAAAATTACTCACTTTTCTCATGCATCCTTTGAAATTGTTTCCGACCTTTGACCCCGCCAGCTTTGACGTCTGAGGGCTTCCGGCGATGTACATGACATTGCTGGACAGCCGCACAAACTTGCCTGATGTACTTCCTTGTTTTCGGTACATGCCGTCTACATCTATGTTAATCTGAGAGTAGGAAAGCATCAGCTAAAAACTACGAAATATCTCAAACTGTTTTAGACTTAGCTGTGTCTAGAACAGCAAAATCACATCCTCATTCCTGCAACAATATGACCCCTATCAACTTTCTTTCACAAAGACCTCAAGGCGGGAATGGTGGAGAGGATGTCTGTCTGACAGTCTATCATATTTGCGCCATCCCTGCGGACTGCTACCTGACGCTTTCACCATCTCTGTAAATTGTTACATGATGATTAATAACCAAAAAATGCGACTCTAAAAGTCACATCCTGGATGAGAAGTGAATAGGGCAAATTCTAGTTACCCCCTTCAACTTCGAATGAAGTTTACAATGCACCTGCAGTCAAATATAAACAAGGGTGTTGGAGAGCGGAATAGGAGGCGGGGGAGGGGGAGGGGGTGGGTTGAAGGGCTGTCATAAACTAGACGTTAACTTTACTCTTAATGGAATCAACAGTCTTGAATTCAGAATAAAATATATAGAGACCTCTTTCATACATTGAGGCACGTCGGGCAGATGCTGCTATCTCTGCATATTTTAGACCAATCTATACTCGACTGGTGATGTGGCCAAAACCATGCCGACCATCTTTACTTTCCTGTGGCATTTCCTGCTACCCGTTACTGGCTAATTCAGTCTACAACCGAACAGAACCCAAGACCATCAAGTAGGTCTCCCTGTCAGTGCAGTCAGAACAAATCAAATAGTTTGCAAGTTATTTTACACTTATGTGACAATAGTTACAACATTATATGAATTGAAGTATTTCTTCAGTTCACACACACACACAAACGCACGGACTCACGCACGCACGCACACACACACACACACACACACACACACAATCATACGATTTATTATAAGTTGTAATATCCTAAAAATAATTTTTGTGAATCTCTCTCTCTCTCTCTCTCTCTCTCTCTCTCTCTCTCTCTCTCTCTCTGTGTGTGTGTGTGTGTACACGTGTATCCTAGGGTCTTGCAGTAAAACTGCACTTGTGCCCAAGGGAGAAACTTGAGCACTCAGACACCTTGAGGCCAGCCTTATAATTTTAAATTTTAAACCCCCCCCCCCCCCCCTCCCATAGAAAATTTGTAAGGAGACTAAGTAGTCCCTAACAATGTTCAGAAGTTCTTTTTCTAGTATTTTTTTTAACGCATGTCATATAATTTCAAACAATATCATGGGATGGGGGTGAGGGGGGGAGGGCGGTGGGGGGGGGGGGAGAAGAACAATTCAGCACAAAATAGAACTGACAAAGCTTATTGTTATTTGAGCATAGTTAGACAAGGTTTAGGCCCTTTAAACGCCCTATGCCCTTCTACCTCCCCCACCCATGTTTTCTTTTTTTTCGACGCTCCTGCTAGCGTCTGTTGTATACCTCGTGTACGTGTTTGTTATACTGTCCACATGTTTTCTACCTTGCTGGAACAAATCAATGCTGTGATCCTGCACCCCAGCTAGACCACGCAAAAAAGCATCAAAACCTCCACTGATCAGAATAAAAAAAAAAAAAAAACAACAACAAACAAGCGCTCTTTGATGTCAACAAAGCTATGCAAACAGACAAGCTATCGCCCCACCCATGACTTCCTTATTTTCATTTTCAATTTGTTTTATACGCCGGACAGATAACTCTGGCTGTACAGTGTCATTATCGATGGAGAGTTATTTAGCCATTATTTGTAACATTCAGGTTTTTAATGCATGCAAAATAGATTGACTACACCAATTTTCATTTTAATCATTGCACTCTGATTAAGTTTTATTTTTGACATTAACACCAATATAACAGCAACAAAATATATGTGACGTGCAAACAATGAAGGAAAAGTGGGAGGATCTTTAAATGAACGATAAAGAAGATGCAGGCAAAAGTAGAGAAACAAATTATAACCGCCACAGAAAAAAATGGCTCAGGGACAAGGGTATTCAATATTCATGCTTGAAGTGGTCTTGAAACATTAATACGGTTAGAATACATCGGAGTCCTGCCCAAACATAATACACCACAACTGAAACTGGGTATAAAAAGGTATGTATAGAGTCTTCAACAGCCATACAATAGACAACGAGAAAGACGGAGGTACTAACGAACACATATAACATAAAAATACGAGTCGTATGTTACAGCTAAAGATCTGCTTTTTTTCAACACTTTCTAACGATGAACGTCAACAATGATTTAAATATATATGAATGTATATATATCACCACAAAAATTGCATCATTAATTGATTATATTAAATTACGAACTTTCACAGTCATTTATTATATTATTCAGTATCATAACATTGACTTTTCATATTAATGAATGAATGATTCAGTAAATGAATGAAGTGATATCACTGCACTCGGCGATTACCATGTGTGCTCTATGCACAAACTCAGTAGCCAATGACAAGTTCCCATACTGATAATCTTTCTGTGGGTCGCTCTGGGAGCCTGTTCCTTTGTTCGTCAGTTTTGTGGGGGGGGGGGGGGGGAAGGGGGGGGGGGGGGAGGGGGGGAATTACCATGTTGTTAGTCTTAGTCGAGGTTTCAACCTCACTGCTGTCAGGTTATGTTATGTTATGTTATCACAATCGACGTCACTGCACATTGAGCTCAGTTCTCCGATGCAGCAGCCACTCCAAAGTACTTCTACTAATTGTTCCCATGAGAAGCTGGTTATACTCCTTTCTCGGCCTTGAAGACGGCATAGACGTGCTTCACCATGCTTTACTCCTATGTCACGCAATCGTGTTAGTGTCAGGGATTCCTTATTATCCATTAGCCCAGTCCGCACAGCTTTTACGATATATGCTCTGTCCATGCTTTTTCCCGCAATGCTTAGTGCTGTCAGGTCACCCCATACTTGCTCCCTTCTTATGCCAGTTAAAACCAAATGAAATGTCCCTCACTGATTTGAAAAAAACTGGCGAACAAACAATTAGTCCCGGTACAATCCTGATATATGCGCACGCAGTAAATGCATATGGCAGTTGCTAGCGGTGCCAAAGCTAACAGTCACCACCAGAATTGCAGTTTGTCATTGATGGACACGATAAATTGGCTATATTCACACGTAAAATTATTACATAAAGTATTTCACCAGTTCACATGTAAAAAGGCTAGCTGCCATACTGAGCATTACGACTCAACCGCTGCACACATGAAAGGCATTCCACGTGAAAAACACAGCTCTCAGGCCGCATTAGGCACTAAACTCATTAGGTCAGACAGATAAACCGTATTCTTCGATCCATGTGTGGAAACTGCATTAGCAAAGCGCTGTCGGAAGCAAAAGTAACTTCATAGCTAAACATTCTACCATGCCTAGTCCTTCGTATTAGACCGGAAGCTCACCATATTCAACCCTGCTGATGATACGGTCGGATATAATTGTGGTCCGGTGTTATTTGAGGCAAGTTCCATAGTTAATTGTGGATACCCAGACAACTGAAAGAAGAACACAAAAATGAAGCGATTAGATCTGTCTTTGCACATCTCTGTCGATACGGAGAAGACATGCTGAACAGTATTAGTACTGCGGACGAATCAAGAGTGCATGACTACCAGCCCGAATCAAAAGGTGCTTCAGTGCAATGGAAACATCCTTCTTCGCCTTGTCTTCAAAAATTCATCAGCAAGAAAGGTTACGCTGCCAGTGTTATGGGATTATCAAGGAGTGCTTTTAACAACAAAAAGACGACAATGTGAAAATGCTGATTCATACCATAAAGTTCTATCAATGCTTCGTGATTCAATTCGGAGGAAACGTCCAGGCCTGTTAACAATGCTAGACCACATGTGGTTCGGTTAACTCAGGCGAAAAATTACCCATTTAGGATGGGAATTCTGGAACATCCACCTTACAGCCCCGACTTAACCCCTAACGATTTTTACTTTTTTGGTTCACTGAAAACCCATCTTGGCGGGAGAAATGTCGCGAATGACGCCAATGTTTAAGGTGAAGTGAAAATGTGGTTTAGAAAACAGAGCATGCAGTTCTATGCACCAGGTTCAGGAGAACTGACGAAAATTCGGGACAAGTGCATGTTGTTTGATATTATGTTGAAAAATAAAGGAACAGTTATGTGTACAAAAAAAATATTAATGGTTTTCAAGTTGTTATCGTCTTAGGTTTGTTTGTTTTTGTTTTTTGTTTGTTTGTTTGTTTGTTTGTTTTTGTTCAAACAACCATTTGTGACTTACTCATTGACTTCCCTTCATGATAATGAATGTCACAGTAGCACAGATATAGTTTACAACCTTTTTTCTAAAAACAAATAAATAAATATAACAACAAAATGTAGAAGACAGTCTTCGAAACAGTTAGGAATGAATAAAATGAGCGTATAAAACATAATACGTGCACATGCATCATGCGAATTATAACTGGCTTAAAGGTGAAGGACATTTTTAATTTGTTCACACAATTTTATTAAATCAACATAACTGCGTCTGTAATAGAAATAATTTAACCCTTGCGTATTCTATCTGGGAGTTGTGTCACAAGATACAAAGCATTTGTTAAGAGCTAATAATATCACTCACTGAGTGCTAATTATCTATAAATTAAAAAATGTGTCTGGTACCATTTTCTAATGCCCCAGTTACTTGAAAAGTGCCCTTTATTTACTTCTGCACAATGTCGGAAATTACCTCCGTTACTTTAAGCATTGCTTTGGTCGACAGCCGTATTTAGATAAAGTAATGTCAAAGGCCCATTTCCCCGCCTGCACGGGCATATAGGGCTAGACTTATATTATATAGAACAATCGACACTAGGTGGGTGACATGTTCAACATCTTGCCAGCCGCCTTTACGTCCCATGACTGTACCTGGTACTGATGTAAGGCTGGGTCATTTTTTTGAAAAGTTCACGTTCGTCAGAACTAGAACTTAAAATCTTCCGATTCGCAGGCGAACGTCTAGCCACTACGCCACAAGCCATATCTAAGCATTTACATAATATATCTGTATGTTTTTTCTATGCTATCTGCTGTCGGTGAGTAGATATATAAGTACATTTCTTCATAAATCTAATACATAGCAGAAGCATAAATAACGTTTGTTGGTTGGGAAAATAATGAATGTTTATTATAATACATTTCTGTAATCATGTAACAGATTTATGAAGGAAATTTAACTCATGCTAAGGGAATATCACCTATGCTTGAAAAGATTATAACTGTAACAAACATTACAAAGTCAATTACGAAACATTTTACAAAATCTTACGTTATCACGAAAGGCGGCGCACAAGTCGACCTGACGTACAAGTCGACCTGACGTACAAGTCTACCTGACGTACAAGTCGACCTGACGTATAAGTCGACCGGACGTACAAGTCGACCTGACGTACAAGTCGACCTGGCGTACAAGTCGACCTGACGTACAAGTCGACCTGGAGTGCAAGTTTAGGCTATACCTACTGTGTAGACGACCCTGAAGCCTTTTTGCGTTCATACGCCAAATCTGGTCACCAAACAGTTTACAGTGGAATATATTTGTGGCAACCTTCCGCTAAGCCTTTCCTTCAGCACCTTTATGGTTGTAAACCCAGCCATATTAAATTTCAAATTACCCGGTGATCGTTTTTTGGCGCCCAATTATAAATGTACCATATGGCTAAACGGTTGAACATTGCAAATTGGCAAGTCATCAATTTACTCTAAATACTAGAAGTGCTGTCCTACTTATGTACAACTAGGGGGCACAGTTTAGCAATTTTTACCTGCCATATTGTAAGTCGATCGCTAGGTTTGGAAATAGTTTAAAAGCTTGAAAACTCGACTTCCGCATCGACATTTACGGTACATGTGAAAAATATGCGACAAATAATGTTAATCATTTTCAGTGGATTCTTCGTAATTTTATAGTTTCTTAGATCAGGATCAATGTTTCATGTTTTTCTAATATAATCAGGCAAATATATATCATATAAGATGAATCAAGCCACTACACGTTGGGGTATTTGCTGGTGGTAAAGGGATATGGGAGCGTACGTTCTACATTAGGACAATTCAACCAAGTTGACTAAAGGGACCATGATGCTGAATATGTGAATCATTACGGGTTAGATGTACAAGTCCTAGCGTAGACAGATCATGAATACGATCGTACAAAACTGTTGGCAATAATCCGAGGGTCTTGTTCTAGCCTTCTGTGAGCCGCACTTCGCCCGCGGACTAACGGCTGAATAGCATTGGATTAGATTGCAGAGGTTGACCTGTCGACTTACAATTAAAGTTAGGAACAAAGTCGGGAGGATCAGATTTAATAGCTATTGGCTTTTCCACGTCACACAAACCACGAACTCTGTAGCTCTAGCGAAAACTCCTTGGATCTTCGTTAAAACTGCAATGGTGAACTGAACAACGTGTACGTGGAACGAACACTGACCTTCAGAGCGCAAGGTAAACGGTTTGACCATTTCGCCACTGAGACGATCAGAGGATAATGAGGCGTGTCCATATCGCTGCCAAGAACGCAAGAATTAGGAGTCAATATCGGACAGCCGGACACAAGGGGCACACCGGGTGTACGAGAAGTCTGACCAACCGACATAGGACATTTAACCACGGGACGCTAGTGTGTATGTTGAAATGGGGTTGGGTGGGGGTCTGAGCAGGCGGACATGTGTGCCGAATACTGGGAAGATAACCCAACCAGTAACTCCTAAATATCTTTCGTTTAAAACATTTTGTTTAACATAATTGTCACTCATAACATCAACACATAGCCTTTGTAAACAAATGAAAACTTAGAGAAGATCGTGCACGAACTCGCAACAACATTTAGGAGTCAATGTTATCACTCCATGATTTTTTTGTTTGCCTTTTTTATGTTTCGTGTGCTCTTAATTCCTTTCTGAAAAACAGCTGTTGTAAATCACTAACAGAAAGTGCTACGTCCAAATCTGGTAAAGGTTCTGAACTTTACCGATGCAAGTAGTTTTTGTGTGTGCATTGTGTGGTAATTCTCTCTGTGTTCAAAGTATTGCTTCCATGTTATGTACAACACATGCAGAAGGGGGCTTCGACTGTTAAGTTTAAAAGTGTGATAGAAATTACACTAGCTAAACTATTGTCTTGTAACTTGTTAGAATTGTTAATAATCAAGCCAAGAGTGTTGGGCATGTGACATCGCGGTGCAGGCAAACATATTGACACTGTGAAAATGGCCGCCCCACTTTTTACATGCACATAAGAGTACTCCTATAATTGTTTTCCCCGTGAAAGAATGAAACCTATAGCAATTCGTCGGCGAATATAGTTCCTGTATGGTGATGCAAACCTGTTAGTGCAATTAGTATATGAGTGCAATAAATAAAGGACCCTTTCCAAGCCTCCAGGCGTATTTGGCATATAGGGCTAGACCTATATTTTATAGACAAATCTCCACTTGGTGTGTGATGTTGTCAGCATCACGCCGGCCGCCTATACTTCCTATGAATCTACTGATACCTAAGTCGACCTGGTAGCCACAGTCATTTTTAAAAATAAAGTCGAGTACCGTCAAGACTCGAACCATGACCGTCCGATCCCGCAGGCGAGCGTCTAGCCTCTACACCACGACGCCTCCGCATGATTGGAGTAGGAAGGTTCAACACGGCGTGACGTCTGTGAAAGATTGTTCACGACTGGATCAGGAAAGTAAAGGCCCTCTATACACAGCAATGGAGTATCAGGGATACACTGCTAGATCTATATACTTACCTAGGTACTCCATGGATAATGTGGTCAACATCATATTGGCAGCCTTTTATTTCTAAAACATTAGTTAGTTGCGTATCCTTTACAGGACGTTGCAGAACCAACACCAGCATTTTCTGGCTGTTGTAGTTTTCCTAAACAAGTTTGCGTCAAGTATTTTACCATTGCCAACTGGACGGTCGGCTTCTTGATACCACTGTCGAAACCAACGCAAGGCGCAAGGCCTGCAGCTGGGGTCGAACCCGGTACCCCGGCATTACGAAGCGCGTTCTTAACACCTAAGCCACAAACGCCGACTCTAGGGTGGACCTGGGATCCAGGGTCAGTTTATAAAACAAATCCGTCTGGATGCAGATTTGAACCCAGGTTGATGGTGGAGGAGAGCTGATATGGTTGTTTGAACTGCCGTCAAAGGAGGATGTTGCATACCATTGGGTGTATGTGAAAGGCAAAATAAAAACCACGTCATTGTCTACATTATTTAATAATAATAGCATTACTATCTTGATGACTGGACAGACGAGACTGAAGCAATCCAAGATGAATGAAACTACTTTTTCAAAATAATGCCTCTATTTAAATAAAACAGCCAGTGGGCAAAAGAGAATATAGTACAAGTAAGAGACTTTCAAGACATAACTGTTCACGTGCGGGGAAAGTGACGCTTGCGTGCAGCAGTATCCCCAATGACGACGTGCGTGGAAAGCAACTAGAAAACAGGTTATGACATAAACGCATGATCAGACTGGCAGCAGGCGAACGATCATGACTGTGGATGAACAACATCAAGCTCGCGTCGATCAACTGATTCGTGACAATCACATCATTAAGTCAAAAGATGTCGCCACTATTTATGGGATTTCGACTGATCAAGTAAATAACATCATTCATATCATGCTTGAGCATACGAATGTTTGTGGATGCACAGTTTCCTCGTATACTGACATGGAAAATGAAACAATGACGACATCAAGTGTGTCAGGAACACCTGGGGCGGTATGAACGGGAAGGTGATGTCTTTATCGCCGAACAGTCCTGACGACAAGCATTGCGCGCATCATTTTAACTCCGAAAACAAGCGAGAGTCTAAGGAATACAGAAATAAGATCTCACCCACCTCAAAGTTCAAGGTTGCCGCAAAGGTGGCAAAAGTAACCATTTCCTGGGACTGCTACGACGTAATCCAGGCAGGATTTATGAAGCACGGCAAAACTGTTAACTCAAATCGCTATGTCGAAACGTTGCAGAAACTAAGAGTACGATTGCTGCGTGTTTGTCCATCCACATGACAACGGTCTTTCACACACAAGTAGACAAACAACGGCAGCATTGAAAAGTTTTAGCTGTGAATATCCAGCATCTAGTCCAGAGTTGGGACTTTGCGACTTTGTCCGGTTCCAAAAGCTAAAGGAACATCTCAAGGGAAACAAATATGCATCTGACAAGGATGTGCAACTGATGAGCGTCCCTGGTTGTGTGAAAAATTGTCCGATAGGATGCGACAAGTTGTTTAGCGCTCGCCTCTGTGTGTGTGTGTGTGTGTGTGTCTCCCTCTCTCTCTATGTGTGTGTGTCTCTCTCTCTCTCTCTCTCTCTCTATGTGTGTGTGTGTGTGTGTGTGTGTCTCTGTCTATGTCTCTCTCTCTCTCTCTCTCTCTCTCTCTCTCTATGTGTGTGTGTGTTTGTGTGTGGAAAGTGGTGGTGACTACGTTGAAAACAAAAATGAAACCTTTCTTAAAGGACACCTTTAAGCTTTCTGAAAATGTAGTTTTCATGTGTACATTGTGTATAAAAACAAAGGCATCACTTGTCATACAACCATTGTAGATGAACTAAAACTGTGGCATGAAAAAACATCACCCCAAAAAAAAAAAAAAGTAAAGATTCAGAACAGCAATGACCGAGATCGTTGGAGAGACCTTCTCGCCTGCCCCAGTTGGTAAGTAATTAAACTGAAGACTAGAAGACACGTGTAATTTGTATAACTAAATCCTGAACAGAAAACTGATACTGTAGGAAGTAAAACATAGGGTGGTTTGTTTCGTATTTGACAAAGGAAAAAATAAACCAACAGTATCATTCCAGACCAACAATAAAATATACGATAACAAACAGAGGGAGTTTTACTGTAAGCTACACTGAAAGGTCATGCAACGTTACTTACATAGCAGACGCCCTCGTCCCTAGTCAGCTAGACGAAATCACACAGCGAAATAAGACAAAGTGGAATGCTGAATGATGAATTAAGAACCGACATCACAGCACTCGGGAACATTCCCATAGGCGCTCCGTCCTGATCTTCGGCAGCAAGCCCAGATTTCCAATTTCGCAGGCACCAGAAACAGTTTACTTGCATATGCGTCTAGATTTTCCCTTGAGTGTGATCATCGACCAGATCTTCTAGTCGTTCGTAGCAGTATTATTCTCATTAAACCGCGTTGATCTATTTGTGCCTCTGCATTGTTACTCGCTTCCGAAGGACGACTGCCATTCATCAATTCACCAACATACAGGCATAACCTGGAGAAAATACCCACCAGGATGCTAACTATGCGGGAACTCGAAAGCGATGCTTGCCATTCTGTACGGAGCACACCGGTATGTACCTTTCCCAACATGCTCTGTAAGTCTGCTACAATTATGACATGTGTGTACAGCTGGTTCTCACTCCAGCGGATAGTTGCAGTGTGTGCCTTGACCTCCAATCTCTGTTGTGGTATTATATGCCAGGCTTTGTTGTCCTAAGCGACGTCCATTTGCCTTTGCTATAAACCCCCAAGCACTTCTTCTGCCCCTCAACACAGAGCAATCTGTATAGATAATCACATTAGTTGGGAGGAAATTGTCATGAATCATTTGTCCAACTTCTGATTCTGCAGCACCAGCTGGCCAGGCACTTTGACCCACTCCTCTCCTCGCCCCATATTATCAAGCCAGCAAACATGTGTCATTGGGTCTTCAGCTTGCGCCATCCAAGACCTTCCTCTTTTCAGTCTGTGACCCGTAGCGCAAATAGGCCTTTGTGGAAGAGGTGCTTCTTGTCTGCGGCTACTCTGAGGTAGAAAATGGACAATTACGTGAGCGTAGACCTTCACGTTTTTATATGGTTTCCAAATGGGAATATTCTACTATTTTAATTAGCTCCATGTTTTTCGGCAATAATAGTGGTAAAGATGCTGACTGCAGCAGGGAATGAACGAACAAAAAAAAAAAAAAACTTTATTTCTTAAGATGTAAGAATTAGGCACTAAGGTAAGTCTTACCTGCTGCCTTTTTAGCTTTACATCTTTCGCACTTTTTTTTCCATTCATACACCGTTGTATAAATAATAATAGTAATAATAATGATAGGTGTAATAACAGTAATCTTAATAATAAACACTATCAACAGTATCTAAACCTGGGTCACATTACTAGATTGTGTTCTTATTATGCCTACATCTCTAAACAATGATTGTGATTGATGGGTGTAATGAGCCCATGTGAAATACACAGTGATGTTAAAACACTATTATTCTGTAAGGTCTTGTAATCTGTAGTCAGATAATATTCAAAGCTTTCCATTTGTATTTACAAAGATTGTTGATGATCTTAACTGGCTGTATAAGTAGTTTCCACGGATTGGCTGTGGAGTAGGCGAATCTTGTCTTGTATGATCTCTCCTAGGTTGCGATGTCAGTAAAACATTTAAGTGTTTACTCTGCCTTCCATTAAACTCGAACAACGACCAAAGACACTCTAGGCGGCTATGGGTAGGTGGGTTGCTACTCCTTAGCACAGAGGCTCCAAAACTGTTCATTTTTGTTACAAACGTTTTTAGACAGTTTCCCGAAACAATAATTCAGTCAAGCAACAAACCAAAGGTTAAACTAAACCCTTATCAGAGATGTGGATACATATATCAACTGTAATGATGAAATGTTTCACTTGTATAAAAAGAAGAGGATCAACGGTTTCCATGATATAAAGAATGGATGTTCACCTGGGCAGAAAATGCAGGCTTTCCTACAGAAATACCACCTAAACATCGCTATAGTTAATCAGCTATCATAATGAAAGGTGACTCTCCTTGCAAGCAATAGCCATTGTTTTTCTTTATCCAACAGATATATGTTTAAAATTTTTTTAATTTATGTTTGTATGAAGGCCTGCGGTATAAATAATGATAAAGCAATAATAAGTACTGTAGTTAATATGTAATTAAATTGTGTGATTTACGAGTTCGATGTGAGAATGAAATGTTTTTGTTGGTAAAGAATTGATAGGCAAAATTCAGGGCTGAGAACGCTTTAAACCAATTTTACTGAATTCCCATAGGAAACAATACATCAGATATTCGTCCTTTTTAATATTTGTCCCTTCCCTCATGAACGGATTAATGAAGAATGTTAATGTTCCACTGAACAATTTGATTCTCTACATAAAAACGGCTTGCCGTCTAACTAGCCTGTAGTTAATCAAGAGCCCAAATTATCTCGGGGAGTCATGGTAGCGTTAAAGCTAACCGTTCTGTCTGCCGGCAAAAAAATAACGTTAGACAAATAAGACCAGCCAAGCCTGAGATAGGTGCTAGATTCAGATACAGTTTAGGGGGAAAAAAGACGTGCGGCGTAATGTTGACGATATCACACATCGAATACCCAGTGGTCTAAATACGAGTCTAGCATCGTATGCCCGGCACGTCACTGGTGTGAAAACAATCAGTGACGTACAATAATACCTCGGTCTACGTACCAAATCCTCTCCTGATCATCAGACGTATAAAAAAAGTACGTATAACAAAGCGAACGTACACCGAGATAACAATGCACATTTTACAATTTACAACTCATTTATCTCTAATAAAAATGTAGAAGTGAAACGAATATGAACATTAAATGCAAACAATGGCTGTGTTGCACAAAATATGAACACTATGAATAAACTAACACTGTAAATGTAATCATCCCCAACTAACAAATGAATTATTTGGCTTACTGCAAAACAACCCATTTGTTAATTCTACAATTTTATGACAGTTTATTTCATATCATTTGTAAAAATTGAAAAACTGTTTCTATATTTAGTCAGTTGCCGAGAAACAGACGCACCAAACTGCGGGTGTTAGTTACATTACTATGTTTCAGTGATTCCCAAAATGAACGGCACTAATCCCAACCTCTCTTAGGGTGCTGGACCAATCAAAGTGCTGGTTAGTTTTGAATATTGGTTAGTTGCGTATCCTGTACAGGACGTTGCAGAACCAAGACCAACAGCCCCTGGCTGTGGTGTGGTTTTTTAAGGCAAATTTACGTCAAGTAGTTTGCCATTGTTTCTGGACGGTCGGCTTTCTTGATACCAGTGTCAAAACCAACGCAAGGCGTATGACCCGCAGCTGGGATCGAACCCGGCATCCCGGCATTACGAAGCGTTAGCATCAACTTAGCCACAGAGCCGACAGTTTTGAATATATAAATACTTTTAACATGGCGTCAAGCATGAAGTATATTTATGTGGGATGATTACGGCGTACACTCAGTGAGACAGAAGCCGGTTATAAGTTGGGAATCACTGTCGTGAACTAACCAGTTTTAACACTAGTCAAAAATACTACAACACTATAGTAGACATCAGCATATGGGATTGAAAACAATAACCACTGCGTAAAATAGGTTGCTTACAGTAATTGTAGAAAGGTGTCATATTTAATACAAGTATGGTATTACAGTTTACGACCAAAGTAGTTGCCGCTGAATCTGTGATTTTCTGACCTAACATATTATGGACAAAGGGGGAAATGGGTTTCCATACTAATGGAAACAAAATAGCAACCAGGAAAGGAACGAATATGGTTGGCTAGAGAAACAAATATAATCTTACACTTCGGCAAGTCAGTTTGTATAAATACTGTCCTGTTATATAAAATTACATACGAAAAAGGAGCTGTATTACAGTCTGGGACTTTGTTAACTGAATAATAATAAAAGAATCAAATTTACAAAGTAATTCTGAAAAATGAATTGATTATATTGGGGTTTTTGTTTGTGACCCCAGAGCCTTGCTGCACAGTTCTTCTAGAAATGTCAAAATTCTATTGCCGAACATTGTTATTATTAGCAAAAAGGGGGAACCATCCAGCCAACCTATTAATAAAACAGAGTGCAATGATATTAAAACGAGGGAAAGGGAGGTAATATTTAAAAACGTTCATTATCCTCAGCGATGGACTTACCTCTTTGGCTTCCCTGCGAATGACCACTTGATGCCAGCGATTGTCGTCAAAGCGGGTGTGGCTAGGTCGGATTTCATCTTCGAACAGGCCTGACCCCAGGTTGACAGACAAGAATATGCCCCCATCTAGTAGGCCAACAGTGATGTAATCCTTACCGTTTCCTAGAAAGACATCTAAATTGAACTGGCATATACACTTGAATAAGGTGAATCTTTACTACTAATATAGGCACTTGTATATTATGATAATGTATACTGAAGAGGTATTAAATGTGCATATATTCTGGGAGAGTGGGGAAGGGTAATTTATACTAAATGGGTAATAAATTGTGATATCAGTGGTGAATGTGTTTAAAACTTTTTAAAATTCCACTTTCGGTCGAGCACTACTTCTTATAGTCCATACATTAGAGCTTTGACTATCATGCTTGTCAACAGCATTCTGTCCCCTCTACTATCATCAATCACTTCTGACACAGATGTTCTTTCATACCATCATGCTTGACAATCAACCTCTCTCGTTGCCTTTATCTGTCTATCTTTCCTTCAACCTTTGCGGTAGTCACGACGTACTCAAGTTTGTCCGTTCTCTCGCTGTGACTAAAGAATTTAGACCTGCCACTTCTGATGACTAAAGAATGTAGACCTGCCACTTCTGATGCCAGCAGTTCTGTCTTTTTACAAATTGATATTTTCCTAGATATCGTCATTGCTCTGTTTACAAGTCAACAGTGTTCTCCCAATTCTCCTTTTGAATCCGATTAGTGCAGTTTCCCTAAATATTTAACCTATCCACTCACGGTCAATCCTGGTCTTGCACCTCATAGTAGTTCTCAGCTGGGAAGATATGGGAAGAACATGGGGAGATTTAATTACTTTGATTGACATCGGCTGGTAGAAATATCTCTATACCAGACTTTCAGAGATGGACACGATTTTCAGGGCTCTGATGAGATGAACGTCACTCCGTCAGACTAAACAGTTACAATTCAAGTTTTCAGAGCATTCGCCGGAAAATTAATGCTCGAACCAACTGCAACGAATATATTCTTAATCACTGTTAGAAAGCAAAACAACTCCAAGAAAGCGGAGCTACACAAAATGTCTTACACAGCTTCAATTAGAAAGCCGCACCGAATGCACCATGCTTAATTATTTACTAGCAACGGTCAACAAACGTATAATTCGTGTACACACCATCTTATCTGTCACCCAACTTTCACAAACAGCTAACATTTCCAATTCATTAACTACAGAACATATTCACCGCGCGAACAAAGCACCAAGCATGTCCTAGTCTGTTTTTGCCAAAAGCTTCCAATTAGACCGTGAAGATAGGATTATTGGGAGAATATATCTTTTCTTTCCAATGACAATTTTCTCAAGGTGTATCAAGTGCAAAACTTTAATTAACTGAAGGCATGAAATAATATTTGTATTGTGTTTAGTTTTGTGCAATTTTAATAGGCCAGAGTTTGTACAAAACGAAAGAATGAGTTCTGTTTAAGGTGCGATTCTATTGTATATTTGTCAATGGGACATGATAGATTTATGTGTGCCTTCTCTAATACATCTCTCAGTGTACGTGACACGAAAGGCTGAATTGTAAATCTTCTGGGTCACAGCTGTTCAACTATAGTCGGCTGATGATGATGATGATATACATTCAATTGTTACGACAGACTGAGTTGTGAATTCTTTCTTTCTTTTTATTTTTATTTTTAAAGGCTTTTTTTCGACGTGCATAAGAATGGAGCTTCTGAGAAGAAATGTGGTCAGATAACAGTGGTCCTAAAATGGCATGCCATAATTATGGAAGAAGGATGGACTGTCATTCCTTTGCGTCCGTACAACACAATATACTACTAACGTCTTTAAAGAAGAAAAATGCCAGTGAATATGAATGAAAATATAATTAAATATTCGGTTGTGAATTCAATGGAAACAAACATAACTGATGCTTTACATTGTTGTAGAGGCCGACATCTTCCACCGACCTTTAATTCACCACAGAGAATGTTCTTAGGGACTCTAACATCATCTATTCTGACTCTAACATCATCTATTCTGACTCTAACATCATCTATTCTGACCTCTAACATCATATATTCTGACCTCTAACATCTATTCGCCGATTGTGACTTAGCCATCTGAGTCTATAAAGATTGCATTAAAAACTATTTTTTGGAATAATGCTCTTTCCAGTACTTCAAAATGTGTGATCTTGTCCTGCCGCTCAGTAAACACGGCAGATCTTTCATATAGGTGTTGCAGAGTGCCATTATTATTTTTAATTTGGATCTATGAAATTCAAAGAATGTCTTTAAGATTTAAACAGAAAAAAAAAAAAAAAAAGTTTTAAATCGTTCAAGCTTAACAAGCAAATGGTCACATACAAGTAATATGAACACTGATTGTTTCCCCCGCACCTGTATAAAACAGCAAACTGCTAGCCTGTTTGGTCCGGAAGTCAAACATAATTTCGTACCTGTATAAAACAGCAAACTGCTAGCCTGTTTGGTCCGGAAGTCAAACATAATTTGGTCCTGGTTGCTGGCCATGACGTCACCCTTGCTAGACAAATTGTAGGACAAGTACTGGGTGCCCAGAAATGTGGCGTCTGCCGGGATTTTCTCTGGAGACAAACAGAACAACAAAATCAATAAAGTCAAGCCGTGATTACTTTAGAAAACAAGTACAGACACGTACGAAGACTCTTTGAGTCGAAACATACAATATTTTTGAAAGATTAATTTAAAATATCTTGACAATTTTGTAGAAGCAATGCATAACTATAACAATATTCCTTAAGAATACGTCTGTGAGTTACCCCAAATCTAGATTCAGGGTAATGTCGTTCTAAATACCAGTCATCATTATTATTAATAATTTTCACTTCTGTCGCTAAGCAGCGTGGGGAGGGACAGTTTGCGATCCATTGCTTGATGGTCAGCATAGCTATTGTCATTCCGTGTCGATGTATCTGTTGTTCCCTTTTTGGGTGCGTTCGTTGTATTTCTGGTCTTTACAGCTCTGATAGAATCTCGCTGTTTCTTTTAATGTCCTCCATAAATCACTAGCTACAGCAGTTAAACAAACAAATTCCCTACCGGTTCGCTAGGCCTGTCGTATGATCATTTTTATTTGAACACGCTGGTGTTGGAATCACACCCTAAAACATATTTTAAAATCAAATGAATAAGCGAACGATGTTTACTCCGCCATTTTGTAAACAAGTACCACTAGCTGCTTCACATACTGTATGTATATACAATTGTAATTACTTTTGCTGGTGCAAGTTGGAAGGAGGGGAAGACGTATTAGACCATTATTCATTTTAAAATCAACGTAATCGTTCGTCGGGAATACCCATGAATGCCGCAATCTTCTAGTAAACATGTTTGTGTGTGTGTGTGTTTAGCTGACGAATCATGTTGTCTTCTGGATGAGATCTATCGATGATGAGCTGAGCTTGTACATGGTCTTTACGTGGCGCTGTTCGGGCTGGTATATTTACACTTTCTTCGGGTATAGAGAGAAATCAGCGTATTTCAATCTGAGGTCTTTAGCAGGCGCTGCCTCTAGCATAACATCGATTATGTCGTATGTGGTCTGTGAAAGTTGGAGTCGGAACTGGGCAAAAATGGCACTCAAATAAGACAGATATGGTTTTGTTACTAGTGAATTGCACAGCTACAGAGATACTCTGATATACCGACTTCAGAACACGCAACATAAAAAAAAAAACATGGGAAAGAAAAGCTGACTGCTATACCTCTAACCGACCAACAAACTGGCACACATAAAAAATACGAATAACCGAGGAAGCGGTATTAAAATATAAATATTTAAGAAAAGAGAACTGTTAAATAAAATTATAAGCTCTCTGAACTAACAGTGTCTGTCATAATTCCCCCCAACCGCTCCCCTTCCCATATTATATCTGCCTGTCCGAATGATTGAAACGTTATGACACGGTGACATTGTTAAAATAGAAATAGTTAACAAATGATAACTGTAAAATAATGTTCTAAACTGCCTCAGTTAACAGTGTCTGGCATCAACCCCCTCAACACCCCCCCCCCCCCTGCCCCCGATAATCATATCATCTTCTATGAAGTATGGCAAAGTCATCGCCTGACGAAATATTGTTGTTAAATTGAGCTTGGCATCCGTGTCCACCCAGACTAAAATGAGTAGCATTAATCTGTACTAAGAAGTAAATGTGGCCAGCTTAACAGCTACCACCAAACCCATCAAATACCAGTACTACTGCTACCACTACCATCACAACAACACCAACAAAACAAAACGGTCACTACTGTCTGTGCAGGTCGTTGTAGCCAGAGGAGTTAGCGCCTCATGCTGTCGCCACGGACTGTTTAGTTTAACTGTTACCCGACATGACCAAAAAAAAAAAAAAAAACCCATCACCTAACCAGCGATAGAACTCACAGTAATATTCCATGATTGAAAAAAAAAAAAAATTACACTATACTCACAAACAGCGGAAATAAAAACCCACACCCGTCATCTCTCCCTCTCCAAAGGGACGATTTTTAATTAACCTTGGCATCCGTGTCGACCCAAACCAAACTGGACGCTTAGCCGTCTTAGTTAACAGTTTCTGTCATCAATGAATAGTTTTTTGATCGAGTGAAGCGTCGGATGGAGGCTAATTAGGACTTTACTGAAATCTGATGTCTTTAGGCATAATGCGCAGATATCGCAACCTAGCTGTCAACCACAACACAACATGCCAATCACCCCTTTAAGGGAACAAAAAAAAATTAGCACCCAGCGGAGAACTGAACACGGGCCATCCGCGTGAAGGGCTAAATACTTACAACTATACTACCGAAGACTAAAGACTTTAGGTCAGATATCGCAGCCTAGCTGTAAACCACAACACAACGTGCCAACCGCCCTCTTAAGGGTGAACAAATATTATCCGTGACATGACCAGACCAGTGAGCATCACGTCACCGCTAGAGTTGGCTAGTTGTAAACACGAAAACCAAGCCAAAAAAAAAAAAAAAAAAAAAATGGCGTAAAAATCGCAGCCTAGCTATGAACCACAACAAAACGTGGCAGTCACCCAGTTAGATACCTTCTCAAAAAAAAAAAAAAATTTATATTATCCAGCGGGGATTCGAAAGCCGATTAACTGCTTAAAAGCGGAATGCTTACAACTATGCTACCAAATACTCAAGCATTTAGTAAAAAAAAAATTATATAATAATAATGTGAAGTTCAGTGTTACACAGCCAAAGATGGCTAATCAACTAAAAACAAATTCGGGCCGGCAACGAAATAACTAATGAAATGATCGTGAAATGATCTTTGCTGGAGCTACGTCGTTCGTAGTTTGCGCAACAGTCATATATAAAAACACGCGCGGAGTCTAAGGCAACGTTGTATGAAAATTTGAAAGCGATCGGTAAAGAAATGTCGGAGATAGATCATGTGAGAAAAGGCATCTATTGGCAGCCCTGCTCAGCAGTCGAAGGTGGTCAATCAACTAAAAACAACTCAGGGCGGGCAACGAAACAAATAGTGATTTGACCGTTGCTGGAACTACGTCGTTCGTGTGTTGTGCGATTTTCTGACATAAAAACACGCATTGAGTCAAAGGCAACGTTGTGTGAAATTTTGAAAACAATCGGTTCAGTAGTTTCGCAGTCTGTAGGTAACGACCACGAAAAATTAACATTTTTATTATTATAAATTATATATATATATATATATATATATATATATATATATATATATATATATATATATATATATATATATACATATATATATATATATATATATATATATATTTAGATTAGGTAGCTAGATAGATAGATAGATAGATAGATAGATAGATAGATAGATAGATAGATAGATAGATAGATAGATAGATAGATAGATAGATAGATAGATAGATAGATAGATAGATAGATAGATAGATAGATAGAACGAACGAACGAACAAACTTTATTTTCAAAGGGTTAAGAATTGGGCACGCAGGCCCGTCTAACATCCTGCCCTTCCACTCCGCTCCTTTCATACAATGTTTCATTTTTACCTCATTTCATAGTTAATAATATTATTAATAATTAATAATAATAATAATAAGAGGAATGCATAATTAAAAATTTGAGTAATATGGAAAAGAAACAAAAGAACAAAAAAAAAAAAAAAAAAAAAAAGTGAAGAAGAAAACAGAAAAAATTACAACATCTAAGTCTTAATTACAAATGCTGGAATGTGCTCTAATTTATACTGACATTACTTGAACGTTTTAAAGAGTATAATAATAAGCCTATTCAAAAAATGTAAGTCTTACAGGTTGCATAATATAAACATCATCAAAACCAATTAAATATTAGTTACAAATATTGGAATGCATTCGACTGACATCTTCAGTTTTAAACAATAATAAGCTTCAATTTTCAACCCCCACCAAGTTCCCCCTGACCCCCCCCCCCCCCCCAAAAAAAAAAAACCGGTAATAAGAAATACATCAAAGCCTTAACATACTATAATCTTTTTAGGGTGGCATATAGTCTGTAGTGAGATAATAATCAAATAGTTTCCGATTGTATCTAAAGGGGTTATTGATATTTTTTATTTCCGGTGGAAGATTATTCCACAGCTGAGCTGCAGAGTACGCTAAGCTTGTTTTATATAGGTCTATTCTAGGTTTAGAGATATGCAATATGTTAAGGCGTTTGCTATGTCTTCCATTGTATTTAAATAATGGCCAAAGGTAACATGGAGCATTTTTAGATATGATTTTCTTAATAAGTTTAGCTTTATTGAATAGTAGGCGTTCCTGGAGCGGTAATAGCATGAGTTCTTTATATAGGTGCGAACAGTCACTTTCATGACTGTTAGCTATTAAACGAACAGCCCTTCTGTGTAGTGCTTTCAGCCGTTTGATGACTGAATTTGCACATCCATCCCATATTGTGGAGCAATAGTCTATGTGGGTCTGAATATGAGAAGTATAGAATAATTTCCTAGAGTTTTCATCCAGAAAGTTTTTAATTTTTGCTAGTTGGTATACCTTTGTAGCAGTTTGCTTAACAAGTGTTTGCACATGGGAGTTGAAGGTAAGATTTCCATCGATGATCAGACCTAAAGTTTTGTGCTCAGTTACACTTTCTACTGGTGTGTTACCTAGGTAGAGTTGAAGGGTTCTATGAGAGTTTAAAGTGCACAGTTTTTGTCTTGTTGTTATTAACATAGATTTTGTCTTACTTATGTTGATTTGCATTCGGTTTGCGTAGCTCCAACTAACTACATTGTTTAATTCTTGTTGCAAAGACAACTCTAGTATACTAAAAGTTCGAGCGTTTGAATGGATGGTACAGTCATCTGCGAATAAATCGCACGACGACGACAGACTTAAGGGCAGATCATTTATGTAAAGATAGATAGATAGATAGATAGATAGATAGATAGATAGATAGATAGATAGATAGATAGATAGATAGATAGATAGATAGATAGATAGATAGATAGATAGATAGATAGATAGATAGATAGATAGATAGATAGATAGATAGATAGATAGATAGATAGATAGATAGATAGATAGATAGATAGATAGATAGATAGATAGATAGATAGATAGATAGA